GCCTGAGATTTCAGGCAAGTCCAAGTGGCTCAGGTCCATCTCCCAGATGTTAGCACCCTCGGAGCTGGCCTTCCAGTTGCTAGGCAAGGCCATGCCACCAGACAGGGTCACGTTTTCACCATTGTATGCCATAATGGTCAGGTCCAGATCTGCCAGGCCCCCGACGCGCATGAGATGTGCCACTGACCCTGGCCGAGCGAGGGCACGGGGGCAACCAGCACCACCTACCATCGGGTGTGATAGTTATGGTGGATGAAACAAAGTAGGTGCCTTTGCGAAGGATGATGGTACGGGGTGTGCCACTTGCTGACGGCTGACGGGTAACGGCAAGGGCGTGCTCGATGGTCTTGAGAGGTTGGCTCTTGGTACCATTGTTGTCATCGTTGCCGTTGCTTGCGTCCACAAAGACAACAAGACCAAGAGATGGCTCAGGGAAGACCGGTGTGAAGTTGGCTGGGGCATTGGGGGGCGCCGTCACGTTGAAGCTGCAGGCGTTGACCGATGCGAATCGTGAGAGAAATGTACGCAAAGCTCGCTCAGGGGTCACGGTAACGATTGTGGCCATGCCACCAGCCTCTCGAACTGCCAAGGCAATGACAATCACAGGCAGAAATTCAGAGGCATATCAATATAAGGGCACGCTACAGAAAATCGCACCATTGCGTTGCACCCCCGGGATCACCGCCAGGCAGGTTCAGGGCCGCGGCCACGCCTTGCCAGTCTTCAATGGATCGAAATGGTTGGATGTGGAACCCATACTCCATGGCCAAGTGGCGCATGCGACAGTCCGCATCTGCGGGTGCCTACATGTCTCGTGCAATTGAGTGGGACGCCAATCCCGCACGCCCCGCCGCAACAAGTAGGAAGGCAATGAGCAGCGCTTCCGGTCAGCAATTACGGTTGATCAAGGCTCAGACCGTCAGACTGCGGTGGAGAAGGCGGACATGGGCTCGGTGCATGCTTACCTGGCCAGAGACGGTGCTCAGGGCCATCAAACCCCCGAGGGTAAGCACCAACACTTGCATGATGGCGTTGAGCAATCACGGAGATCGCCAAGACGACAAGCAGAAACAACCCAAGAAACGCCCAGTGCGAGTAGGATGGCGATGGCGAAATGGTCCCAGTGCGTCACTGACAGACACACACCCCACCACCAAGCACTCGCACGCGCCAACAAAAGAGACGCAAAACATCAACAAGCAAAACATCTCTCAAACTCGCTCTCGCTCTCTCTCTCTCTCTCTCTCTCTCTCTCTCTCTCTCTCTCTCTCTCTCTCTACTCTCTCTCAGCTCTCTCACAGCTCTCTCTCAGCTCTCTCTCTCTCTCGCTCTCTCTCTCTCTCTCTCTTTCTCCTCTCCCTCTCTCTCTCTCTCTCTCTCATCTGTCTTTTTGAAGAGTGTGACAAATTTCACACTTCCGTAGCTGCGTTTGCTGATTCTCTCTTTTTTGCATCAAAAGGACGGGGCGATGCCTTTGAGTAGATGACACCGGATGTGGAGACGGCTGGGCTGGGATGCATGCCCGCACAGGCTGAACATAAGAGCATGGAGGGGGTAGGGCATGTGGAGTGGAAAGCTCCACACCAGGTTGAGGCGTACTTGGCTCAGGTGCGACGCGCAGCCCGTTGCCACGGCCTCGTGATGACCCGTCTTGTCTGCCTGGAGGCTCCGAACCGCCTAGCTGATGCCCGCGAGCGCGAACTCGTGGTTTGGCATACGGGTCTTGGCTTGGACCGAGCCCGCCTTGATGCCGCCATTCTTTCCCATCTAGTCAGGCTTGACAACCACGCCAAAAACAAGTATCAAGCACCTTTCCCCCAGCATGCCTGTGAGGCCTCGGAGACCGGCTCAGAGTCAAGCGTCCGCCCCTTAGCCTTTGCAGCTCGCTGCAGCGCGCCACCACACAGCCGCTCATCCAAGTGGGCTGCGATCATCAATGGACACGACGCTTGGTCCGCATCATACATCGCCATCGCATTATCGAGTGGCTCATCAACTTCCACCCTGGGTGGTGGTCACTCACAGCTCAGCCACGGCACTCAGCACAGCGCACGGGCTACCTTTCACGGTCGACAAGCGACCCGATATGCCCTCACCATGGCCCAACTGGCCAAGGTTCAGGCGGACCGCAAACTTGAGCGCCGCTGCTATCTCTACGCCAGCTTGGGCTACTGGCAGCAAGGTGGGTTTGGGTTTCAAGTCTCCTGCGCACATCACGCGAGGCCTCGCCGACCGCCCCCGAGTCAAACCCTACCTCCGCTCTTTTGCTTTACCTTTCCATTCCACCGCATCCCATTGATCTGCTGTCCATTTTTGTCTGCAGGTTTGGTACAGTCAAGTCGCCGTCTTTTGCGGCACGTCCACCGCCTTCACCAGATCCATCCCGTTGACGCCGCAGTACGCCCCGAATACTGCACGCCGTCCCGTAGCCCTCCCCATGGCTGCCTCTCCGCACTTTCTCTCACGACCAATGTCGCCCCTGATTCATGCATGACTTGCGTCGGGAACAGACAAAGCAAATGTATGCTGACATCAAAGGCCGGCTTCTATCGCAGGCCTCAACAGCAGCGACCTCTCGTACCGCTACTACGCCCAGCACGGGGCCAGACCAGAAGAATTAACTCTTGTGCCTACTAATTGACCAATAAACCACGGTGTCCTTTTTGACTGCCTTTCAATCGTCACGCTTAGCTTGGCAAAACTGTGCTTATGCTTTCATAACTCAATTCATGGCCGTGACAGCCTCACACCAATACTGCAAACTCAATGGGGAAGAAGACCACGTGTGGATACAAAGTGATGCGCGATGCAAGCACAAAACGCAAATGCAGCCATGATGACCCGAACAAACGTTGTGCAGCACGGCTCGGATACGGCAACACGGTCAGAAAACGAATGGTCTACAAGCATTGCCACAACAAAAAAAAAAGCTGAGCCTCAGCTCAAGACAGCAAGACAGGAACGGCGCAATGGCGCCCCCACACAAGTCGGATCTGAAAGCGTCGGGCGTCACTACTCTCGAATGGGAGCAGTTGCAGCAGCCCGACGCTTGGCATGAAAACGCTTAAACTCCTCCAGAGAGATGAAGCCATCACCGTTAGTGTCCATCTCACGAATTTGAGCCGTGGTGAGACCTTGAAGGCGACACTCGGACACAGACAAGCGGCCATCGCCGTCCATGTCCCACATGTTCCAAATGCGCTCCGCTTCCTCGTTCATGCGCCGGTGCTGTGAAGACGTCAACGACAATTCACCGTGCATCTGAGCACGCGTCATGAGCTTGGAACGACCACCCTGGCGAATGCTTTGTTGACGCCGCTTGGCTGCCGATTGCTTTTCCGCCGAGCGTTGCGTTTTGAGCTGCTCGAGCGTTAGGCGTGGCTGCTGCGTCTCTGGCTGCAGCAACTCCTCCGCCTCAACGGTAAACGGCATCTTGTGCAACTCTGCATACTTGAGGCAGGCCTCGTGCACAAACTCAAACTACCATGAACGCGCGCGCACAAGATGATGGTCAGCAAGCAACAACAGCGGCATTAACCGACAGGCGGACATCACATGGTCGCTCTAAAATCCAAGCGCCGAGAAAGAAATCCAAACCCTTGTCGCCACAAGAATCAGAAACACCATGGTGCAGTACCTGCTGGAGATGTTGGACCAGAGCCGGCCGATCTTGGCGCACAGCCTCAATAATGGCCAAGGGGTCCGCGCGCATTTGCGTCTTGAGCAGTTGGCGACAGTGATCAATAACAATCAGAGTCCCTGTGCGACCAATACCCGCCGAACAGTGAACAAGCGTTGGCTGATCTTTGAACTTGGAATTCCACTTGTGCACCGTGTGCAGCAATCCTGCATGCCCCCATACATGAGTCAAAGTTGAAGTGAGCCGCTCTTTGTTGTTGCCAGCTACAGCGCGCCAACATCCCCAATCGGATCTTGCCAACACAAGCTCTTGCACCTACCAAGAACCGAGTCGGGGTAGAGGCTGCGTTCGGCGTCACGCGGCACACCGTGATCGGGCCACGTGTTGTACCAAAAGTGGCCAATGCGACGGCTCTCGCCGTGACGTACGACCTTGAGCTGCGTGAAAATGTAGCCCTTGGCCTTGGCCTCGGAGACAGAGAGGACCACAATGTCCCCAAAATGCATGGCCGTTTTGCCATCAACCTCGGCAGGCCAGTACCGCTCGCATTTCGTCTTGCCCTTTTCAATCAAGCCCGTGGCCATAATGATGGCAGAAACATTGGACTCCCAGATGGTGCGCCAAAAGTGCGTCAGCGTGGCTGGCAGTGGACTGATAGATCCCCCAATGTAAAAAAAAAAGGGAGGGGAAAGGGGAGCAGATCAAAAAGCGACAAAGCGCAAGACAAGCAAGATGAGGTGTTGATCGTCAATCACAGTAGCCTGCTGTAACGCGCCCAAAATGCAGGTTTTTTTATTTTTTCCCGAAACCAACACGCACCCCATCGCTGCCACGTATGCCTTGGGGTTGCCATCTGCTCCGCGCACCCAGTTGGCATTGTAGTATTCCGACTCGGGATCATCATGTATACGGGGCAGCACCACGCGCGTCTAAGCATGCATGACCCACACCAGTGCTCATGAGTCAATATCCAGGACCTGACTCTGCATCACTTCACTTCCCACAACACGTCCCAAAAGAGTCAAACACGTCTAGTGCGTGGCACGCCAGCACGCGGGCAAACCTGGGGTGGCGGCAAGATGTCCATGTAGCGATTGTGGCGTTTGTTACGAACGCACTCGGGAATCTAACGGCGTGCGCAGGACAAAGCATTTGAAGTTGAGCAGCCATCGTGCTGACCTGCGACACAAAGGAGTAGCATGCGGCAGATGAAGGATGCCGCTTGCTGACCTGGTCTGGCATGACGAGGCGATTGTCCATGGCTTTGTACGCGTTGCCATCTCGCTTGCCAATGGTCCAAAGCTTCTTGGCCTTTTCCCGTTCCGCACGCGAGACTTGATAAACAGATTTGCGTTGGCGGCGATTCAGAATCGTGCGACGCACGAGCTGTTGATATGGAAAAGTGCACGTCGCGCCCCCGAACCATGTGAGCGGCGGTTACAGTTGACTCGCCGATCGGATAGTCAACCAAGCGGAGCGAAAAGAAATGGGGATGAGATTAATAGGACTAACGAGATCAAGCGCAGCACAAGGTTGGGGGTCATCCACGAGACGCGGATCGTCATAAGAGGCCAACCCCGAATCGTGGTTGAGAAAGTAAGTCTATACAGCATAGAGGCAATCAAAGAGGGCACGAAACCAATCAGAGCAGACAGGAATTAATGGCGGTGCGGTGTGTATGTTTTCGCCCCCATGTTTGCCAAAAAAAGAAGCACCTACGTCGCCGTCTTCGTCCTTCTCTTCCGTCCAGCCGATTGGCAACTCCCTTTCCAGCTCTTCGGGACGGGGATCCGCCTGACCAGATGCCAAGTTTTGCAGAAGTGATGGCAGACCATGAGTGAGACCAGGTACTGCCGGGCCAAGATCGCACTCGCTGCTGGGAGCAGCCCAACGCGAGTGAGAGGCTCTGAGGCAATCGACAAACCTGCTGAATGGCTTTGTCCTTGCGATTGCGAAAAAGGATACAGGCATCCTGGTAGAGGGGCTTGCCCGGCGAAGCAGCCACAATTTGCTCCCAGCCTTCGAGCATGTTCTCTGGCTGAGGTTCGAGGCTGAAGGTAGCAACGCGCCAAAGGAGCAAATGAGCTGTGAGCCTGGTGGTCGGATAGCCCGGTGTACACAAGAGCAGGCTGGGGACTCCTTCCGTTCGCAACGTACACAAAAAGGGAGGGTGCGCCTTTGACCTCCTTTTCCAACGGGAGAGGCGAAGTGCGCTCCCGCGCAGCCTTGCCATCAGTTCCAGGATTGTCCCATTGTGCCACCTGCTCGAAGCAACGGCACAATTGGTGAGACCGGTTGAATACATTGCCTTTATTTTTAAAGGACTGGGGCTGGACGCACCTGGTTTTTCTTGTTTAAGAAGATGACGCGTTGCTCAGCTGGAAAGTAAGCGCGCACAAAGTGCTTTGGCAACTTGCACGCCAGATCCTCATCGACCTGCACATGAGGGCACACAATTTCGTGTATTCAATGACCACATCAAACACGAGTCTTGGCAATTTAGGATCAAAGACAGGGGGGACGGTGAGCGTCGGTTAGCATACCGACGGCATGGTGCACGGTGCCTCAGCTTCTTCTCCAAGTGTGATTTGAGCGTGCTATTAGCACGAGATCAGCAAGGACCTTGCTGAAAGGCGAAAGGCGAATGCCAACAAGTCAAATGATCGGAGCCAACTAACACATCAAGCCAAGGGGGTCATGAGCAGGCGACAGGCGCAGTGATTGGCGCTGGAGACCACCAAAGTAATTGACGTCCCCGCCCAAGAGAAGAAAAAATACATCGTCTGAACTCTGCTCCCTCATCGCCCCAGGGTTAGCCCTCACACTGCGATCAATCAACAGGACCGCATGGCATCGCAAATACCAGACAAACACTCCCCATCATGACCTCCAAAACCAAAAGCCCCTCGCGATGCTTCACCACAACCAGCATGTTGTGCCGGGTGCGGCTGAGAGCTCAAATCAAGCACAAATCAAGCACAAATCGCGGCATGCCATCCAGTCCTCACCGTCGGAAATGCCGTCGGAACTCACACACACACACCACACACACACACACACACACACACACATTGAGATGAGCAACGCCCCTTGTGCTCTCTCTCTTTTCTCTTTTCTCTCTCTCTTTTCTCTTTTCTCGACACTAAAGGGGGCGTACAGAACAAAGCCCTTCTTCATTCGGAGAGTTGTTGAGGGATCGGTGGAGGTTCGTGTAGCGGGCGGGTGCATGATGCATGGGCTTGTGTTGAACAGGCAGAAGAGTTAGGGTGGCTATGGGGATGGTTGTGGTCGTTGTCAGATTGATTGATTATCCAACGCTTCGTTCGGAAAGGGAAGGACCGGCTTGTGTGGGCGATCATCACATCGCAACCCCTGCACTCTCTGGATCGCTTGGCAACTCTGCGACGTAGGCAGGTGAAGGAAGCGTCTGCCTGCCAGTCAAAATACGTCTTTATGCTTGCCAACTGCCAAACCTTCAGACATCGCACTGGCATTGAGAGTGCTTCGAAGACCGCTCAATTCACGGCTTTCGGCGCTTCACACACTGTGCTTTTCTCTTTAACATTGTAAAGAAAAAAAAATCAAAAGCAAAATCGACTAGTTTCAAGGCGACAGGCACGAGCTCAAGTTCAGGGAAGAAGAGAGGAGACGACTGGAACATCAACAGACATCATATCAACATGTTTACGCGAACATCCCCCATACACGTCCAAGGGACAACAAGCTTGGACTACGGATATGGCAGGTTACTTAGCAAAGAGACACGCCCGTAGCACAAGCGGCACCGCTTGCCACGCGGTAGAGCTGGCCCGAAGCACAAGCGCAGAGCTGAAAGGCGGCTGCCCCTGCATCAGCCGCCAGCACCGGTAGGTTATCCATAACTATTGCGTTCCCCGAGAGGGAGAGCTCGTTGGCAGCCGTCAACGAAATGCTGTCAAAGGCTGACACAGTCACGCTGGCCGTTTGACTGTTGACGGTCACATCCTGATTGGCCTGCACGCTGAGATCTTGTCCCACCGATTCGACGGTCAGGCCTTGATTGGCCGTGTACGCGTTTTCCAAGCGGCCAGTCTGCAGGGTGCCCGAGACCAGCAGTCCCGACGCGCTCTCCACGACGACCTCGTTGGCTCGAAGCGTAACCTGACTGGCGTTGGCAGTCAGATAGATATCATCACCATATGCACCGCGCAAGCTGCCCGAGGTTACCTGCACCGCATCGGTGCCCAGGCTCACGGTCGATCCTCCGCCACTGCTGCTTGTGTCGCCCGCTCGTAGGTTGACACCCTCGGTGCTTTCCAGCTGCATGGTGGTGCCCGTGAGCGCTGTCAGATTGGGGGCAACAAGCCCCTGCGTAAACTCAACGTCGCCCTCGATGCGAATGCGGTGCTCTCGGAACACCACGGGGCCAGCCCGGTTGTCGCTCAGTTCAAAGGCATCAATCAGCCAGAGCACGAGGCCAAAGTTGATGAGCGCGAGGATGACGAGCCAGAGTACCGAGCAGTAAAGGCAGTACTTGCGCCAGCCGTAAATGCCGATGCGCTGAATGTGCAGCTCCACTGTTTGGGCGCCTCGGTCCGCGTAAATGTCCGTGTCGGTCGTCAACGTGTCTCCGGGCTCGGGCTCGTAGCGGCGCTGCCTCAGCCCCTCGCCCGCCGGCTCGTAGCTGACCTTGCGAGGTTCGGCCATGTCGTACGCTGGACGCTCGTCGCGCATAGGCTCCATAGCTGGCATCCTCCCAATGAACGCTCACCAAGTAACGTCGATGGAATTTTGCTGGGATCAGTCGGGAAGGGAAAAGTGGCCAGACAGCATGAGATGAACCCCAACACACGCGAGAAACAGGAAGCACCCCCCCTCACTCAAAAAGGTTGTGCTGACACACAAGAGCAGGGCCAACCCTCCCCTCGTACACATGCATGCGCGCGAACCATGCCAGCGGGGAGACCAACTCAACAGCTCGAACCTACCAACAGCTTGAACGAAAAGCACAGCCCCGACCAACCGATGCTTGCACAAAACAAAAGGGCAGCGACCCACTATCCGGGACGAAAACGGAATGGAAAAAGAAAAAGAATGCACTCCCCTTACCCAGTCTGCATTGTCTCGCCGCAAGAACTCGGTGGCTTTGTCCGCGTCCTTTCAACACCTCGAGGGCGCAGTCAACCGTTCAAACCGCATGATGCATACATGCATGCAAGTGGTGGCTTGCCGATCCGGTCAGGTTTTTGCACCAACAACGCTACCCGTTGTGGCGAGAGTGCTCTCACAGCCTCGTTGTCAGCCCCTGGTGTATTGTCGCGGCTGCCTTCACACTGTTTCTGAGCCCGCCACGACTGTCTTGCAGGTCGAGCAGGCTTGGTCGATCGGGCGCGTACGGCTACGGACACTTGCGGACGTGGCGTGTGTGCTGGCACGGCTCCAGTCGACCAACCTGACGCACTTCCGAGCAGGCCAGCGCACGTGAGCACGAACCATGTCTAGCCTGCGCCCGCACCACCACAAGGGCCACCGTGGCTCAGCCGACTCAGATCTGGTCTCGGAAGACAACCTGGACTATGCTGGCTCGAGCCGTTACATTCGTCGCCCCAGTCACCGCTTCATTCCAGGCTCCAAACAATGGTGAGAGCTCTCCTACTTGCCTCAACTCTTTCTATAAAGTGCGCCCAGGCAACACCCGAGCGTGTCGGCCATTGGCGCAAACCGTCGGCCCATTGCCTTCCATGATTGAGTGTTGGTCACGCCGTTGGAGCCAACCGCATGCACTCACCAAGCCTGGCTTTGGGTTAGGCATATGGGACACAATCTCAAGGGCCAGGAAGACGACTTGATCGAGGATCTTCCCGTTGGTCTGCGCCGTGCCCGCCTCTGCTGTGTTGTGAGCTGCACCGTGGTGGCGGCGCTCCTCAGCCTCGTCACGCTGGCCCTGCTCATTTGGGCCATGACGGTCTTGGACGTTGATACGTACGGCCCCGAGGGTGCCGTCTTTCGGGATCGCGCCGTCGGTTTTCTCAAGCCCGTGGAGGTCGGTCTTGGTTTTTTTTTTTTTATTGGGTTGCTTTGTTGTTGTTTTTCCTCCCCACGACTATACGCTGTTCCGCGCTGCAGCTTGCCCGTGGGTGCTACTTTTTCTCATCGGTTCAAAGCACTCACCAAAATTGGTACGCCACCTGCTCTGGTCCAACTTTTAGTGTACGGGTCAAGTTGCTATCGGCCAAGGTGACTATGTAGTCCGCAGCACGGCCAATGAACCCCTCAATGTAGCTGCTGCTGACTCGGTATGCCGCCTGCCATGGGGCCCAAAATGCTTCAGCACGCGTACACACATAACACGCACACGTTCTCGGGCGCACCACAGCATGCACGCGTCTGTTGCTTCGCTCACACTAACCCCGGTATCTGGGCTCTTGCACACACATTGGACGTGTGTATCTACAGTATCGGCTGACCGCACGGTCCGCCACGGCACGTAGCACAAGCAGTATCTCCAGCACGCCCGCCGATGTCACTTTCAACGCCTCAAAGATGACGGCTCGCAGCGCCGTACGTACATCGTACATGCGCCTCCTTCCTCACGCCTCGGATGCAGCTGAGCTCATAACACCTCGGATGCAGCTGAGCTCATACCGCCTGTGCCCGGATAGGTGAATGAATCCGACATTTACTTTGAGATGGACCCGGAACAGAGTTACGTACGCAGTCGCCGAGCTTTTTTCGATACCCCAGCCGTGCGTACAGCAGGCAACGCCAAGGTTGGTTCGGCTCGTCATTCAGAACCTCGGACCTTTGGCTTCAAGGCATGTGCAAGCTATGGGATGGCTTCAGTGGCTTACGCTTGCATGAACAACCCCCGCTGCATGTGGCACAGGTGCAGACAAGCATTCTCCGAGCGCCTGTTGGTGAGGACATGGAACTGGCCAGTACCTCGAACATGACGTTGACGGCCTTTCGTGACCTCGCTCTGACGGCACAACTTGGCAACGTACTGTTCACTGCTGGTGCGTGGAACGAATTCCCCCAGGATGCCTCTGACCCTCGCCACCCTGCGCCACAGACCTATCTCACCAGTTGTCCTCATGACTTGATTTCCACACATCTCCGCCTTTCAGACGACTTGACCTTGGCAGCCCGACAATCTGGGGTGGTGGGTGCACTTTCCATGTCTTCACCGGTGGTGGCTCTTGACATGGCGAGCCTCTTGGCCAGCTCGGGGTCTGTGGTGCCCGCAGCCACGTACACAGTCTGCACTTGCAACAACGGACAGCTATTCGTTGTCGATGGCAGCACCTTGTGTCCCTCCACGCCAGGTGCTGCTGTGTGTGCTTAAAACGTAGTTGGCCGAGACTGAGCTCACCCCTTTGGACCCGTGCGCCCGAGGCCATCTAAGGGAGGATCCTAATGCCATAACACGACGTGCACATGCGTTCCTATATTCCACCTTCACTTCTCCCTTCTCATCTTTCTCTCTTTCTCTCTTTCTCTCATCCTCTCCATCTCTATCTGTCTCTTCCCCCCCCGCGCGCCCCTACCACCTTCTTGTTTGTAATGTGTCCACGTTTGAACACACAGGAATTGAACGTTTGTTTTCTGATGTCAAATCCTTTTTAAGTCAACCTGGTGCCATCTGTGGAACACGAGATGCGTTCAAAATGCTTCCGCTGCTACGGTCGATTGCAGATTGCAAGACGCACAGTTTGAAAACCCAGACGCAGGTGGGTGTACGGGTTAACGGGGCACGATGGTAGCACAAAACACCTTCCAGGCCTTGCGCGGCAAGGTCACACGCATACACACATGCTAGGGCATGCAGCAGGTGGCGGAAGTGGTCCAAATACACAAAGAATCCACATTCAAACTGAAGCCTGGTTCTGGTGAATCTTATCCAGGAGGGTTTTGGCCTCGTTGATTTTGGCAGCCAAGAAAGGAGAGCCTCCACGATCCGGATGATTGGCAATCATGATGCGCTTATGCGCCTCTTGAATCTTCTTGTAAGGAGCCGAGGGGCTACCAAAACCATCGCACGCGCAATCAGGGTAGCATTTGGGCAGAGCATTAAATCTGCTGCGGCAACCAGGGCACCAAAAGCCAGGAGCTCACCTGCAACCAAGAATGAGGCCAGCCTCGCGACGCGACATCGTCTCCTCAAAGCCTCCTTTGTAGTATGCATTGAGATTGAGGTTCAAGTTGATCTTCTATGGTTGGCAAAGCATCAACGCACCATTTTTACATCCTCGTGTGAGTTTGACGTTCATCAAGAAGAAGGCGAGTAGCCACCGAGCCACCGAGCCCAGGTGATTCAGACACCAGACAGGAGCCTTGCACGCACCGGCATCAGCTTTTCGGGCATCTTGACATCCATCTTGGGCATGCGCTGAATCGCGCGCATGGCCACGCGGCCTGATTGACGGCGAGCAGCACAAGAGAGGCGGGGTGAAATTGGGATGAGAGCAGAGCCAGGTCGGCGGGCTAAAGAGCCAATCACAGGGACAGTCACAAGAACACAAAACTCGCTCAGGGTCGCGCCGGAACCCTGGTTATGACAAAGGCCTCGCTCCAACGCACCGCCAAAGCCGACACCGGCCACCAAAACACCAAGTGCCACAGCCGTCGACATTGTGAGCGTCTTGGGTCTTGCAACTGGATTGAAAGGACAGGAGAGACGTTCAAAGGGATACCAACACCCAATGGAAAGAAATGCTGTTCCTGCTGGCTCTACTCCGTCAAGCTATGTACTCTGGTCGCCGTTTCACAACTGCCCGTCGAATGGAAGTCTCGTCCACCATCAAATCAAGAAAACGCCGTCAACGTCAAAGTGTTGTTTACACGTGTCGTTGTCCTCTCCTCTCTCTCCCTTTTCTTTTGTGACTTTCCCCTGAAAGATCCAGAAACGAGATTGGCGTTACCAAATGTTAGTCGGCTCGGAACGAAAAAGAAAAAAAAAGCCTTTGAATTGACGAGACGGCAAAGCTAAATGAGGGGAAAAAACGAAGGCACAGCTCGTTCGCAACCAGTGACCCGGAAACACACAAGATTATCATGACTGGGTAGGCAAGGCTCAACAAAGGCAGACACACGGCCATGAGCTGACCACAAACGGACCAACAACAAAGTAATAAAGGGCAGGAACAGGGCAAGCGAAGGCCCGTGATTTAATGCTCTAAGCATGGGACGGGCTGAGTGCGCCGGCAGCCAAGATGGCTTGCTGTGCTGCCTCTTGCACCGCAGCCAGAGGTTCCGTAGGCATGCCCTGAAGCTCTTCAATGCGATCAAAAAAGTCGCAGCGCAGCTTGCGGAGCTCATGCTTTTCCATCGGCAGCAGGGGACCTCCGAGTTCCATATACTCGCCCTTCTCAGATGTGAAGGGAGACCACAGGTTGTCCTCTTTACCTTTGACAAAATCTGTCCAGTACGAGGAAACCACCTCCGCCAGGAGTCGATCACGCAGAAGGCCAAAATCCTTTTGAAACAAAAAGACGTAGGGAATCTCCATGCCATGACAGGTGCCAATGCACGTGGGTCCCGGGATGGCGGGATCCCGATACTCGGTCGAGTTTGTGTTGTTGCGGGAAAAGTAATATTGGAAGGTTGTTTGGTTCGTGGCAGACATCCAACGAGCCTACAGCATGCAAGGCCAAAAAACGGAACATGCCCAAAACCAAGCCCAGCCCGAATGAGATCCGATCCGCATGGCAACGACAGCAAACGAACGATTATCCACACGGCGGCGGCAACGGTAAAGGCATACGTACCATGCGACGTGCAGGGCACGTAAATGCCTGGATAACACCGGTACACAAGTCGAGTCCAAGCGACCGACATGGACATGAGATGCACCCGAGTACAACAACAAGCGGTACATAAATTGCGGGGGATCAACGGGTGGCCTTACCCAGTCACCGAGCACATCAGCCATGGCCCACCAGACCGACTTGTAAAGTGGCACGGGGTACAGCACATTGAGCTCCAACAAGTTGCGCAGCTTGAACAAGACCCTGCACAGCACCCATCAGCAGTGTCAGCACCCGCGTCAGCGTGCGGAAAGTGCCTTTGGTGCGAGTCGGGGCGAAGGTGTGGACAGGCAGCAGCAGGCCAAAAAGGCTGTAGCCTCGGCATGCTCAACGTACGTCAAAGCACCCTCATAGAGCCAGAGGGGCAATTCACGGGGGAAAATTGCTGCGGCAAATGCCGTGCCTTCGTCCTTGTTGGACCCCAACAAGGTGGGCACCTATGCACAACCACGGGACCTGTTTGTCATGCGAGCTTTCCTTTTGCCCCACTTCCCGGTCCCTCAGCTTTCAGGCGCAGCAGCGGTAGCACTTGGGCATACCTGGCTTGCAATGTCTCCCTTGCGGGCCATCTCAATGGGATCTTCTGGAAGAAACACGCCGTCAATGACCGGGGCCCATTGGATGATGCCTGTGGTGTTTCCCAAAAGTTCGTCCGTGGAGGCCGCCAGCATGCAATCAAGCTTCTCCGTAGCAGAGCCCGTGCATCCCATGTTTTTAGCCATAGTGAAAAAGTCCAGGCTGGCCATGTTCAGCTTGTGGCGAGCCCAGAAGGATGCTCCGCCCGATTGCATGATGGCACGTGAGAACGCGCCCTTGGCAGATGGCTGGAGCAGCAGAAGGGCCACACTGGCCGCTCCCGCCGACTCTCCCCAGATGGTCACCTGAGCCGGATCACCACCAAAGGCAGCGATGTTGTCCTGTTGATGGTGCCATGTGTTGGGTCTGAGGTGAGCAGTGCGCGGGGGCCGAGGACAAAGTAACCACGATGAGGGAGGGGCTACCGGTACGCACGTGAACCCATTGTAGACCAAAGAGCTGGTCCTGTAGACCGTAATTGCCCACGCTGCTATCCGCATTACGACTCCGCAAGACTTCGTGGCCCAAAAAGCCAAAAACTCCGACGCGATAGTTGACGGACACAACCACCACTACATTGCCATTACATCAAGGAATCCAAGGTGAGCGCACGCGCCTTTCCTTTCCTTGCTGGGCTGGGCAACCCCCATGCTCCATGCATCGAAAATGCATAGACCAGGACAAGTGGAGACGAGGGAAAAGCCTGCATTGAAGCAACCATTCGGCAAGGGCGAGACCGAGCGAGGGGGCCGCACCGTTCTTCTCAGCCGCCAAGCGGGCGCCATCATACATGGCATAGCTTGTGGACCCGTTCACAAAAGCACCACCGTAGTACCAGATCATCACCGGCAAAGGCTCCGCTGGCTGGACCGCAGGTGTCCATACCTAAAGATGGCGCACGAGACATTGCATGTCAGCCGGCTTTGCATTTCATTGAACGCCCCCGGTCGGCAGGCTTTGGCAGTGTTACCTGAAGATACAGGCAATCTTCGGAGGAGGATGGAGCAAAGCCATTGGGACGCTGGGCACAATCGGGGGCAAAGGCCTTGGCAGATCGCGGCGCGGTCCAGGGCGTCACGGGTTGTGGGGCGCGCCAACGCAGATCCCCGATTGGAGGCTGGGCAAAGGGCACACCCAGGAAGGCGGTGACAGCATGCAGCGCGTGCTCCGTGCCCACCACGGGACCCGCCGAGGTGTGCACCGTCACATCATCGCCCCAGGCAACACCAAGAACCAGGGCCAGCAAGCCCAATGTCAAGACCGCCATCATGCACACGTCAACTGCAAGTGAAGCCAAAAGTGAGCTTTTGGAGAGAGAGCGAGAGAGAGAGAGAGAAGAGAGAGAGCGAGAGAGAGTGTGTGTGTGTGAGAGACATAACACACACAGAAGGAGAGAAAGAGAAAGAGAGACAGAGAGACGAAGAGACAGAGAGACAGAGACAGAGACAGAGACAGAGACAGAGACAGAGACAGAGAGACAGAGACAGAGACAGCGAGATGGCGGCTTTCACAACCACAAGTGATAGGCCCAAAAGAAGCTCATCAGCGGCGCGTGCAACAAGACATGCTTTGGTTGTCAGACTTTTTTCTACGATTCAGATCGATTTGTTTTCGACTCCTGGAAATGCGCTCAGCGCATGAAATGAGGGGGTGCTTCTGTTACGACTACTCGTCCTCATCGGTCAAATTCGTCTCAAGGACAGTGGTTTCTTGCCTCGGGCGAGAAGAGCCACTGGCACTGGGCTGTTGAATTGGACCAGGCTTGACCAGGTCGAGGGCTCGGCACAGCCGCACTTGAACATACTCCTGCGCCACGCGCTGGGTCAAACCATGGCAGTCGCCAATGTGGGACGGAGCGGCTGACAGATGCAAAGAAGATAAAACAAGTGAGAGCAGTCACCAAATCAAGCGTGCATCGGCCCAATTGAAACAGCAGCAGACGCACAGTCGTGGCGGGGAAGCGAAGCGTTGCAAAAGGGACAGATGCCCTTCAGCCCTAGGGTGGAGAGCTGAGGAGAAGGGGGGCGGAGGCATTGGCACACACGCACACAAAGAAGATGAATGCAACGACCCTGTACATTACTTGGCATTCAACGCCATCACACACGGGTAACCGCTCGCCAGTGCTGGAAAACAAGGGAAACACGCTCCCATGCAGCCAGCACGAGGCACGAGGGTTTTAGCCCAAGTCAAGTTGACTACCGTACATACCCCAAGCCCCAGCTCAATGTCCTCATCTTGAATACGCTCCAGACCGGGTTTGATGCGCTCAAAGAAGCGACCCGCCGCCTGTGTGCACACCACAACAGCCAGGCCAGGCACGCTCTCAGCACTCGTTGCCAACATTACAAATCCAGCCAAGCAGCGTGCCAGAGGGAGAGGTGGGGCAGATGGGCTCCGAGCTCACACCTCATGCAGCGTGCTTTGATAGCAACCAGCTTGTCGAGCACAAATTGCAAGTGCCTCCTGGTATGCCAGGGGCGTCGCTTCCAAGCTGGAGAACAGTGCTGCAAATTTCCATTTAACAACGGATTGAGCATGCTCATTCATCTTGTCTCGAGCACCAGGCGACCAGCGAGCCGGCTGCACGTACTGGAAACATTGCAGGCGGTCGCATGGGCCATGTTCTGCACATTGAGCTACCCCAACAAAACACGCGTAAGACATGCTGTTCCGCGCACACACCTGACGTGGTCAACCCCAAGGACTCACCGGCATGGCAGGCAGCTCGTCTGAGGGAAGTGCGTCACCGCTGTCACTCTCATCATCCGAGGTTGCTTCCTAAAGACAAGGCGGTGATTGAGCTCTCAATTTGTTTTGCAACCTCGGACTGAAAATTCCGCTGCCCTACCTCTGCGGCCGACCCCAACTCCTCAAAGGTCGAGGCAAACTGGCGCAGTGCTGTGGGCAAGGAGCCAGCAGCAAGGTAACTGGTGAGGGCTCGGCATAGAACCAGAATGATCCGTGGCAATCCACGAATCGTGGACCACGCCACAATGACTGACCTTCCCCTGCTTTATTGGACGGCTTTGCAGCACTAGAGCCGAGGACTTGTCGCCGCCAGCTCAGCTTTTCCCTGCACAGAGCACAGACAGTTCCCATGGCCACAGCCAAGGCGCGTCAGCATCCCGATACATGTGCTTTCGACCACACCACGCAGATATGCCAGATGAAGCGTGCTTGACCTACCTTTTGGAGCCCGACCGCCACTTCTCTAGCCAGTCCGTCATAGCCGGCACAAACACACGCAGGTGGTGTGCTTGCATCAGGTTCATGGCTCGTAAGAACATGGCATGGTCGGCCTTGTCGGTTCGGTTGCCGTAAAACTCTTCAAAGAAGCAGGCAGTGCGCAGGGCCATCTTGGCGGGTGGAGCTTCGTCGCTCTTCTGAGCCATCGTGTGTGGTTTGAAAGCCACATGACCCAATCGACGCGCGTCCTCGGGCTCACATTGATAAAACTTTCGCCTTAACAAAGTGCTCGCCTTGACCTTCTTGAAAATGTTTGTCTCTGCTTCCAGAGACATGAAGGGCCTCAGTGTCAACTCTATGCCACGGTGCGTAGCGGCATTCTGCCATGCCCCTGCACGCACCTCGGCCCAGCTGATGCCAGCCAAACCACCGCGGCTGGTGCCGACGGCATGTACGTCATTGGCCCACAGATTATGCCGCTTGCGCGTGACCGGGAGCGACACACGCCACTCCTGTCAGCAAGCGCAACGCAGGAACAGGAAAGAGCCGTGAGGAGAGTTTGTGAAAGCGCATTTCTATGCAAGATGCCGTGCCAGCTGAGGCGATCGGCACTCACATCTTCATCGTTAAAGTTGTAGATGAGTAGTAGCACCACAACGATGGCAGCCATGGCCTCTTCCACCTCGGGCACCGTGTCTGGAACCACTATACCCACACATGCCACATGTTTCTTAGGTACCAGCTTCTGCTGACTCCGCTATCGTGCCTACAAGCAGGCGCAACTTACGCAACCAAGCGGAATTGCCACCGCGAGTGGACGATGACTGATCCACTGCGCTCTCCGCCAGCTCCAGTAAACGATGGACCAATGGCGCCAGCGTCGGCAAACGCAGTCGCGCGCAAAGCTGTTCAACAGCAATTTCAAACGTGAAACAACACTCAAGATGCTCCAACTCGGCTCGAACACGCGCAAGGATGCATGCTTCACTTGAATAGGCCTACGAGCTTACATCCGTGGCAATGGGTTGCACCGCGACTTGTGCGGGCAGATCCACCCCGAGCACGCGCGCCCAGGCCATGATGCTGTTGTGCATTAGCCACCCACTGCGGTGCGGAGGGCCACTCACTGCAAGTGAGCGCGACTGATGACAGATGCGAGAATAAGCGCGTGCACAATGCAGTCCGCCTACCTGGGCTGCCGTGCGTGACGAAGGTAACTCTGCAGAGAGGGCGTAAGCTGGCCTCGCTCTCCATCACGAAGGGTGGTCCAGAAGTTGAAAAACGTGAGCTTGCCCTGTTGTGCCGTCCGCAGCAGCAAATGAGGGCCTGCGCTGCAGATGGCAGGGATAAAAGCTTCCTCAGCGCCGAGCAAGCAAGGACACACGCATACCTCGTGGCACATGTGCAGCAGTTGCACGCTGGTCACTGGAATGCGAAAGTAGCTGGAAGGGTATTGATCCAAGAAAGCACATGATAGCCGACAAAAAGCAGAGCCGTGAGACGTGTTGCAAACAAAATGGGGTTGGACTACGAGGGGCCCACCGCAAAAAAACAAGATTGATCATGCCTACCGCAAGGCTATGCCGTGAAGAAGCAAGGTAAAGTGTGGCTGTGGTAAGCAATTGAGCTGGTAAACGTGATGGCTGCGATCCACTCGGAGAGGCTGAAAAGGTGAGCGCACGTCTGCCTCAGGCTTCGATGAGCTTTCCTTTGATGCAGCTTCCGCGGTGGCCCCCTGAGTCATAACGGCGGCATTGCTGGCAGCCTCGGCGGGCGCTGCCGTGGCAGGGCCCATGGCTTCATTGGGCTCGGAATCATTGGCTAAGGGGCGCGTTGAAACAACACGATTCAGTCAGTCTCAGGTGGGAGGTGTTTTCATGTTTTTGAAAACTAAAACAGGGCAGGAGGCCTTACAGGTCTTCTCCGACGTTTCGGGATGAAGGAAAGAAAACTCGGCTTTCAGAATTCGATGCCCTATTAGATTCAGTATCAGTCAGTACCTGTGCGACGTCCGTGTGCCTTTCAAGGTGGCACACATGAGTCGATAAGGACGCGAAACTGAGCGCACTATCGACCTACGTTTGCCACGGGTCAGCGCCAAGGCCACCACCTTGGTGGCCAGCAGCTCCACAAACGGCTACCGGGCGCGAATTTGAAACCATGCCCAATGAGAGTCAGATCTGGAGCTCTCAAGCGTTGAAAGCCGGTCGAGGGTTGAGCAGGCCTGTTGCGGAAGGGTCACGGACCCAATATTCCGGCCCGAGAGCACAGCATTCGATGAGCTCCGTGGCCTGCATCCGGAGCAATCTTCGGAAGAGCGTCAGATATCGTTGAATGCACTCTCCTACATCGACGCTTGGCGCTTCTAGTTTGGGGCCCTAAACATTAGGGTGGCCGCCAGGAAAAGGACCACATGAGCAAAAAGGAGCGTTGGCCGTGACAAGAACGCGCCAGCCACATGTGCATCACAAGTTCCGAGCAGCACCTTGGGTTTTTTGCGAGTGACGGTGCGCCCCATAAAGTTGATGGCTGAAGCCTCTGCCTCTTCGTTGCGGACATCCTACCAGGCGAGATGAGATGAGATGACGACGTGAAGGAGAGGCCCCGGACACTCGTCTTTGAGCAAGATACCATGCAAGGCCCACCTGCGATAGGGTGCCACAGGCATTGCAAATATATTGTCCCAAAGAATCACCATCATCCTGGCTAAAGTTGGTGCTGCCGCATATGCGGCAGCGCAGCCCCATGCTGCCGGCGGTTACTCCCCAGCTCGTCCCGCGGTTCAAGAGTGAGCAGGTGAGCGAGAGAGAGAGCGCGAGAGAGAGCGAGAGAGAGAGAAAATTCACGTGGAAAAAACTGCGGACAACCCAACATCACACACACACACACACACATTTATTTGTTGTGGAAGATCAGGTCAGTGGTGACTCTCTCTCTCTCTCTCTCTCTCTCTCTCTCTCGATCTCTCTCTCGATCTCTCTCTCTCTCTGTCCTTCGCCTGCTGTGTTGGGCCTCGGGCAGACGAGATGGAGCTCATGCCCGATTGCCACGGCCAGGCGCAGTCCAACGGACAGTGCTGGCCCTGCTTCTACAAACGCAGACGCTGCTCGAGTGCTTGTGCACGTGCAACCATGATGAGCCGATCAATCTGGACCCTGGCAATCCTGTTGATGCTAGTGGTCTCTCCAGCCTTGGGCAAGTTTGTTTGTGCAGCAGACAATGGCGTGGATGAGAACCCCGGCACATATGCAACGCCGATTGGCAACCTGACTCATGATCAATGGCTGGAAAAACGACGTGAGGTCATTGCTGCGCTTTTTGGCAACAACGGCACGCTGCCAACAGCAAGCGACCCTGTTTTGGTCGAATCCGTACCTGGCCCTCAGGCTGCGGGCTGTCTGTGCTCAACGCTAGGCCATTGCGAAGCCAGCGAGTGTGTATGGGGCAACAACATGACCAAGCTCGTCTGGTCCATCTCCGCCTCGACAACGGACGGCTATACGCTCACGCTCAACTCAACCGTCTTCTACACGCTCAACACTAGTGGAGTCGCCCCACTGGCCTACCCTCCCTATGGTCCGCCAGAGATGCCGGGTGGTTCCGCGGCCAACAGCCAGCCTGCTACGGGACGGGGCAAAACGCTCGTGCTCTTCCACAATGGCCACTCACAGCCGTGTACCAACGACGAGCAAGGCTGCGTACCAGACTTTGATGGCTCTGTTGACTGGTTGAACCAGCTCGGTTACGACGTCATGAGCTTTCAAATGCCTTTGTTCCAATGCAATGCCGTTCCAAACGTACCGTGCCAGCACGCTTGGTTCCAGCAGTACGCAGATCGCGGCATGCCGACCATGCGCTTCTTTGTCGAACCAGTTGTGCGAGCCATCAACTACGCACGAGACGTGCTCAAGTATGAGCGAATCGCCATGATGGGCCTCTCTGGTGGTGGCTTTACCACCACGGTCCTGGGCGCCATCGACCCCCGTATTCAACTCTCGATTCCAGTCGCAGGATCGATCCCGTGCGATTTCAATCACTCAAGCTGGGACTTTGAGCAATACTGCGACGACCCATGGGCCATGGTATGTCGGCAAGCCGCACAGGCCCGCACTTGTAGGATGGTTCTGGCAAATTGCCCATTCTCTCTGCCTTGCCTCTCTTTGGAATAGCATCTCCATGCCCATGCTCATTATGATCTGCAATCTGAATGAACCTCCGCCCATTGTGCTGGCAGGTGCTCAACTACACGGGTTTGTATGTATTGGCTGGCTTGGAGGAAGGCCGCACCTCAGTGCAGGTGTTGCATGAACAGGTTCGTTGATAAACATGCCCCTCCCTGCCCTTTGCCACGACAACCATTGCACCGGGGGATCAAAAGCTCTGACTAGCACCATGCTTGTATCGAAATCTTGGTCGAGCCAGGACCCGTGCTGCTTTCACGCATGCTCGCGCCATGATCGGATTCGGGCGTATAACTCTTATGTCAAGGCTCAGATTGCCGGTCATTTTCAGACTGTAGCCACGCCTGGTAACGTCCATGAGGTATGGGTGTCATGAGGGACTCGGGTTGCCATGTCCCGACGAACCCAATGCCCGCCATCGCATTGACACCGTGCCTCATGCTTGCATACTCAGATCAACCCGCGAGACAAAACGGTCGCTGCCATGCTCTTGGATTTGGTCACAAATCAAGAGGACCTTCCCACAGACCTTGTCTCCCTTCTGCCTTACAATTTGCTCCGCGCATATTAAAACAGTATTGGAAGGTGGTTTTGTCGACTGCTTCTGCGCGACACACTTTCAGCGAGCCTGTAATCAATTCAAATTTTTTGATTCACCCTGCACAAACTCAGAGAACGTGCTGACAAAGGTCTCTAGGCACCATTGACGTTGTTCGGTGTGCTCTTTTCCGGCCGGCCTTCGGGGCATGTGATTGAGGAGAGAATGCTTGAGGCTGGAAACCATATTGTCAAATCGGATCCCGAATTGATACTTTGCAGCCACTGTTTTGAACAGAGTTAGCACATGCTCGATCGGATATAACCGCATGATGGACGCAGGCACCTCCAGGCCGCCTGGGTGGTCATCCATAGATTCATCTGTAATTTCCGGCAAGAGACAATCACAAAGCATACACAGGAGATATGGCAGCCGGCGCGGGTCGCAGTACGAAACTAAAGCAGCCTTTTCCATATGACGCCTGCAACCTTCATAGACATTGCACCTAAAGTTATGGAAGTAGCCGCGGTAAAAGTAACACCAAGCTAAATCACGCTCAGCCTGTGCTGCTCGGTAGGAGGGATACGCAGAAAGGTACGCCGCGTAGCCCAAGTCGCAGTACTGGTCGCGTAAAAGTGGTTGCGTGGCAATCTCGAAAAAGCCCAGGAACAGCTTTGGCGAGACAACTGCTTGCCAAAACTCATAGACTGCGCCCTCCACTATGGGTCCAGCGAAAATACTACGCCGGTAAATGAGTTCCATCTTGAGAATGTTGCCGCAAACATCGCCAAAGCCATCCAGGCCGTCTAGAATGGGTGCCTCGTCTTCTGGCTTGGCTGCCGGCATGATGTGCAGCTTGAAATATGGTTGCCGGCCAACAATGTCAAGAATTTGTTCAATGCGGTACATGTCCCAGAGGTCGTCATCTCTGCTGAACACCAGGCGCACGTTTTCCTCTGGTACCTCCTGGAGCAGCGTCTGTTGCAGGTGTGTGGCTATACCAGCGTAGTGCTCGAATGGCTGCTGTGGCGTGCAGCGATAGAGTGTCGTGACTTTAAATTGCGCAAGCATGGCCTGGCATGCTACACGTAGTTTTGGGGCACATGACCAGCTCAAGATGAGCTCATGGACTTGAATGGACTGCTTCGTTGCTGATGTCAGGCATGTCGACAGCTTTGCGAGCTGGTCTTCATCTGCAATATGACTGGCCATACAGGCAACGATCATGGGCTTGCCTGGACTAAAGGGTGCTAAGGAAGGTGGGACGCAAAGTAATACATTGACATCAAACACGACATCTGCTTTCAACTTCAGACCCGCCAGTTGTGCCAACTGCATGAGCCAACGCGTGAGCACACGCTGTCGACAGGGAGAGGCCTTTGTGTGTCGCTTGCTATAAATGTCAAACAGCCCACGCAACCCTTTTTGATGAGGTCTTGCATTCTGCCAGACAAAAATAAGCTCAAAAAAGTCCTTGTCTGAGATGTCGTCACCCCATTGGCGGCAAAAGCACGTGGAGCAGATTTCCAAGAGTCCAACCAGGCCTGGCACTGCCCGCGCGTTGCGTCGGCATGGCTGTCGGCACTGGACGCAAGGATTGCACTCCTTTTTGTGATGCCGCCAATGCTGCTTTTGGCACTCTGCATTGCAATAAGCCGTCATGGAACACGCGGTACACCGCTTGAGGCGCTCACCGGTTCCACCGCAGTTGGCACACACCAGGTGCACCAATGCTTCGATCGACATGACGACTTGGGATCGCTGGATGAGATTAAGTCCTCAACAACTGTTGTTGATCACATAGTGGTTCTTGCAAGCAAAAAAAAAAAATGGAAAAGAAATCATGATCATACAAGCACAGATCATGACTCAAAGCCTTGTGTTTTTTTTTTTTTTTGAAGTCTTGCTGATCGCTGGTTCGACGCGTCGCTCAAGCTCCGCATATTGGGCGGTTCACTCCACTTCGCCGCGAACGAGGGCTTCGGATCACGTTCATGCTCAGGAGCTGCCCTCGCCGAGTTATTTCAGCATTTTGCTTTGATTGTGCTTTGGGCAGCGTTGGCTTTTTGATTATTGCCAGCATGCCCAGCGTCTGCATCAAGGGCGTCGCCAGGTTCCGACACGATGGCAAAGTGTGGACTTCTCACAATGCCTGGTGCAGTTTTACGGAAGATAAAAATGGCCGGCCACGCCCCATCAAGTTTTACGGTCAAAGACCACGCAGCGGCGGCCCTTATGCCAAGCCCTGGTTTGGAAAGCAGGAATTGGACAGAATGAAGAAGCAGGCGAAACGAATGTTTCAACGCATGGCCGATAAACATCAAGCGTCAGGTCAAGTGCGACATGCTCCGGACATGAAACCCCATGAGGAAGGTCTTTGCGAGCGATGTCAAGAGCTTAAATTTCCTTGCAATGGAATGTTGGTTGATGTGATGGGCAAGCAGTTTACAATCAACAAGCGAGACCGACTGGAGCGAAAGAAGCGCCTTCGCGATGGCGAGAAAAAGACGTTGTATCACCAGACGAGTCGGGACGTGGCTGAGCTCATTAAGAAGACTCAAGAGATGAAGCCGGGGCAGGTGGGCCTTGCTGGTGGCGGTATATACTTTGCATTGTCGCCAGAGGACACACACGGCAAGGCTCAGCATCTTGGACCCATCCTCGAATGCACCGTGTATCTCGGGAATACAAAACAACTAGGACCTAGTGGCGACCCTAGTCTTGACTTTCAAAAGCTCCAGAACGACCCAGAGGGCCCGTATGATTCGGTACTGATTTTGCGAGACCGCCCAGAGTATGTCGTCTACATGTCTGACCAGGTGGAAGACATTTGCTATCACAACTGACGCTTTGCTTGACTCTGAGTAACCGTGGTGTGTGATGTGGCTCTCTTCTCTTCTCTCTTCTCTTCTCTCTTCTCTTCTCTCTTCTCTTCTCTCTTCTGTGACATCTTCTCTTCTCTCTTCTCTTCTCTCTTCTCTTCTCTCTCTATTTATTCACTTTTTTTCCGTTGCTGTGTGTATTCGATGGTGTTGTTGGTGTGCTCTTTTGCCTCTGGACCGGCTGGGTTTTTTGCTTTGTCTATCCGAGAAAGACCGCCTCAATTGTTCTGGCGTGTTGTACTTGTATGAATCGACATGTGAATTAACCAATCGAATTAAAGAGCTTCTCTCGTCGTCTGGATATGCTTCACTGGTTGGCCCTGTCCTCTGTTTTGGCTCTGTCGCGATGGAGATGGATGTGCGGCTGACCGCAACACTCGAGTCGGGCATTGGGCGTTCTGGATGACCGGACACTCGCGCTTTAAGTGCAGAAGTATCTTCAGCATGACAATATCAAAATTAACAATGCTGAATCTTCAAGGCCTCAGACTTCAAAAAAAAAAAAAGTCAATTATGGCGTTGCTTACAGATTTCGCGCTGCTACTTGTGTAAAACATAGACACCACGGGGTGCCTGCTCATGTAGCCAGAAATGACTAGGAAGTGACCGAAGAGCAAAACACGAATGAGAGGAACAAGACGGGGAAAAAAGAAAAGAAAAATAAAAAAACAAAAAACAAACAAACAAAATTCAAGAGAAATTCGACACAAATTAGCCAAAATTCCAGCCTGGTCAAGCAACATCAACACACCTGGTAAAAGGGTATCCTGTGTACAAGCGCTCCATGAAATGCTTATGGATCACATAGTTAAAAGCCGCCATGTTACAATTGACCTACCACGCACGACAGTGAATAGACGCGTGGCCAACGCACGCCCAGCCCGCATCCACCGATACCTACATCGGGCGGCAGCTCGTCCAGGACGCTGACCATTCGAGCCAGAAACTCCAGCACCACGGTGCGATGCCCACCAAAGACACCGGCATTAAACATGAGAGGTCGGTCCAGGACATCCTCCAGGTCTGGCAGCCGGGCATGCATGTCGCACTCCTGCAAAGAGGCCCGTAGCCAAGGCTACAAAACCACCACAACAAGCGGGCACGTTGCACATCACGCAGGAGCGCCGCACCCACCGACACAGCTCGTGAGTCCTCGCAAAGACAAGCAAGGAGCAGACAGCTGCAAAGCTCAAGACAATACGTCTGGCGTTGTTGACAGATCAAGGCAGGGCGCGATGGTATCGGCCGACGTGGCCGAGCCTTCAACCAACCATACTGCGCATCGAGTCAAAGAGGTCGTTGTCATGACCCACAAAGAGCACATCGTCGTTGACACTGCTCATGAGATCAAAGGGGTCAGCCTGCAGAATCACATCTGCAGCCCCACAAAAGGCACAGGCACAAAACGGCACTGTGAGTTCATGCCCAAGTATTGGCGAAAACCGGCCATCATGCATGACAAACCTGAGGCGTCAGTCATGAGCACGCGGCTAAGGCTCGGATGAGCCCGAAGGTGATCCAGGTACGCATAGAACCGGGCATCATTGGTGGAGCGCGAGCCGACGCTCATGCGCACAAAATTCATACCCGAGGGCTGCAAACTGGATACAAAGTTAGACCCCAGTTCTACGACACGTGCAGAGGCACGTTGTGTGAACCATGGCCTAACGGGGTGTTCATTCATTGCCAAGCATCCGAGTTTCCCTCTTCACGCGGACAAAATGCTCAAAGTTCACGGGGTGGTGTGACGACAGACCATCGTGGAAGATGATGCCGTTCAAGTTGAGCTGCACAAGCGACAGATGCCAGCCCCGCATGTACCCGTACTGGTCCGGATGCCTAGCCAAAGGTTGAGCAGACGCAGCGCACCAGCAAAGTCCATCGCATGACATCACCACCAACAGCAGACAGCAGTCAAGCAACGCAGGTAGGTGCGCAGGTTTATGAACAACGGACGCACCGGCGAATACGATGCTGCGGGTCGGCAACACTGGTCAAGTAGGTGGTCAAGACTGCATCGCTCTTGCCTCTTTGGCAGACCCTGAAGCAGCACAGATCAAGCCCCAGGTTCAAGGCGGGCTTTTCGCAGTCAGAAGCAGTTTGGACGGATGTTTGATGGCGCACCTGTGCAACATTGGCTCGAGGGAAGAGGCAGCTAGGCTCAGATCCAGTTGCGTATCAATCTCAAAGTCAGGGCTGCTTGCCAGCGCTTTCCCTGCCAATGCTTGTTGTGAGCTGCTTGCATCTTTGTCTGCATTGGCAGCCATGGCCAGTAGTGCGCGGCGGGCGGCAGGTTCTGCGGCGCAGCCAGCGACCTCGACTGCGCGCACCAGCTCCACCAGAGGCCAGGGGTGTTTGGTGGCGGAAATTCGAAGCTGCCTAATGTCCCACAGCAGATGCCAAACTTCCTCAGCCACGATGCTGCAAAGATGTCGTCAGCACAAAATTCCAACAGGCAGGGGAGTACCTGGGCAGTGGTGCAGCGTCGTGGGCTGCCACATCTGTCAGCCATGCCCTGAGGCGAGAGCCATCTAGCAGGTGCCGCCAGGGAGCCTCAAAGTAGGGCCAATCGGCGGGGCGCCATAGCTCATGCCGCAAGGCACGTCGTATAAGAGGAAAAAGTCCGTCATCTGCCGGATATAGATCGGGTACTTCATCCAAAAGAGCAAGCGTGCAGTGTTCGTACAAGTGGCAGAGGGTGTGCACGCCCTGAACCACTTCCAAAGGCACCTGACATTTGTGACAAGAGGAACGTGGGCTGCACTTGTGAGATGACGAGTGCGACCGCCATTGGGGAGTCACTTTTAAGCTAGTTGCCGGCTCACGCACCAGCGGAGGGGCCAAAACCAACACACGCGGCGAAGGCACTGGGAGAGTCAAGAGCAGACGCTGAAGGCAGCCAATATTTCGGTGTACGTCGTGAATGGCTACGGCGAGAGTACATGACACACCAGGGATGGTTAGTATAAGCCGACAAGGGACAGGGATGGCTGCCTTGGCCATGATGCCGGTTGGCCACTTTGATGGTCGACTCACGAGCACTCGCTCCAGTCTGTGCAGAGGCGGTGGATGGGCGAAGCGTGAACACAATCAAGCTGGCAGCTGCAGCCAGCTGGCGCAAAGGGGACCACACGGCCAAGCTAGTGCAGTCTTCTACAATAGGCACATCTTGACAGGTGCTACGGTTGCCCGAAAGCACAGAACGTGCGTTGGCCTGACCATTCTACAATAGATGAAGGAGGAAGCATCAGGAAGGGTGGCCGGTACCTTTGGTGGAACAGCTCAAGCCAGAGCAGCAACTCGACCCGAGTCTTCGACTTACTTGGTCCAGGGCTATGCAATCGACTAGGCTCGAGGGTTCCAGTTGTGCGGCTAAAAAGGTGCCCAAACTGGTGTCGGCGCCCAGAAGGAGGAGTCGTGGCTTGGACCGTGGCTCAGGTTGAGTGGCACCCGTCTGGTGGGCTCCACTGTTGCCTAGCCAGCCCTGAAGAAGGTAAATCAAGAGACTCAACAGTGCCATAATCAACACCAAGCTCCGAATCCACCGCCCACGCAGCCTCAGCCACCGGGGGCCCACCACAGCTCGTCCTGCCATGCTCCCCCCTCTCCGCCCGCCTCCCCCATCACCCCTTCCTGTCGTGTCGACCTGCTGACGACAAGAATGACCACTTTGTCAGACACATTTGTCAGACAATCTGGCACTTTCAAGCTTCTCGTCCATATGGTTGTGCTGCTGGAAGGTCCGGGGGGTGGGGCGGCGGTATCAGTGTATGGGCGTTTCTGTGCGAGTGCGGGAGGGGAGGCAGGTGTGCGGTAGAGCGGGGTCAAAGGCGGGAAGATTGAGGGGCTTTGTGCAGCTGAAGGCACAATGGCTCGGTGGATCGGCGCAGCCGTGGCATTGCTTTGCAGGTTTGTATCACACCTGCCGGTGATGTGTGCTCATGCCGCATCATCGGGTCTAATATTATTATGTTACATGTGTCGCAGTGTCATGGCCAGCGAGGAAGCGGGGATCGAGCAACACGGCATTGCACCGTCAGGCTCTTGCACTGACGTCCGGGAGTGCGAAGGAGCCGATTTGCCACTCAATTCAGGGGGTGCGCTGCAATGGCAGCCACCCCCGCAAGAGCACGCCCACTTGCTCAGCGACACGTGTACCATCCCGCGAGTTGCAGCTCGCATTTGGCGCGAAGGAGCGGGTGGTAGCGATCCGACCCCGTTTCTCGACTTTCCGTTTATTTTAGAGAATGGTACGCGCGACCACTGTGCATGACTTGCTGGGCTTGTTTGAGCCGTACGCCTTGGTGCTAATACTCACCGGCGCCGTTCGGCTTGTTGGCGGTGGTGATTGGTCTGGCCGTAACTTGAAACTGCGGTCTCAGGCTTTGAGAATGCACAATTTCGACAGGTATCGAGCATTTTCCGGGACACAGACGGGTAGAAAGGTTGTGTATTGTTGGCGGAGGAGCACGGGGGCGTGCGCACGTGTGCGGAAGATGCAAGGGCCATCCGTGTGCGTGTGGATGCGTTTCGTGGTGGGAGCTTGCCAAAACTTGACTTTGGTGGATGACTCTGTGGGGTCATATCCCGACTGCGCTGCGCATAGATGACGGAGAAGGAGGCTCTCCTGAGTCGGTTTGGAGCCACCAATGTGACTCTCAGTTCGGCCAACACGTTTAGTTATGCCAAGCGCGACATGCTGTTTCGCGATTATGTCGAGGTGCGGCATGCTTGAGGTTGAGCTGATGATGCGTGAACTCATTGCTGTGGCGACCTTGGTGTGGGACCGTGCAGCAAGAGCTGGTGCCTCGCGTCTTGACGGATGTGGCCGGGGAGACTTGGTACATGTTTGGCAATAACAACTGTGAGAGCATGCGATGTATTCCTTGATCGCCTACCCAATTTGGAAAAGGACCACATCTCTGCTTGTGCGGCACCTCGATCCTGCTCACTCTTTTTTTTTTTCTGCCTGTCCCTGTCTCTATTCCCTGGCTCTCTCCTTTCCTGCCTTTCCCCACTCGCCTTGAACCTTGCTTTTCTTGGGTGGTGGCGGCGTGGAATGTGGTGACGGCCTGGTCAGACTCGGATTGGACCAACTTTACCGAATGGTACGATCGACCAAGCTATGGCTATGATCGCGAGCCCTTTTTCAGCTTTGGAATCGGTGGCAGTGGCTCGGGCGTGCCATTTCACACTCACGGTGGAGGTACGATGGGCTTGCGAGCCGCCAAGTGGCTTTCTTGAATTCTTTGGGACCAGAATTGCCATGGTCAAGTTGAATCGTTGCTTTCGAGCCTCCTCTCACGATGGACTGACAGTGTTTGCCGAGGTCTTGCATGGGGTCAAGCGCTGGTTCTTGACACCACCTGAGAGCAAGCCCACCTTTAGTCCCGACGAGACTTCTTTCTACTGGCTGCATCACGTAGGTGATCTCCGTCGCACAAGGCATGCTGGCAGGGCAACTGGGCGTCGAGATTTAGCTCACATCCCGATGGAAAAACATTGACGGTCCGGACTGGCCAATCTCTCAGGTCTACCCAGACACGCACATGTTGGAGACGGAGATGCAAGAGTGTGTTTTACAGCCAGGCGAGGTCTTGTGGATCCCCACCCGATGGTGGCATGCGACCCTCAACATTGGAGACACAGTTTTCATCAGCACCTTCCTATAGTGTGCGATCATGCTTCATGGGACAGGGGTGCGATGCCAGCCTGCCTCCTCCCCTCTATCTCGTCAAATTTTAAATGCTCAAGCTTCTTCTCTTTCGAAAGTATAATGATGCCATGGCTCCATCACACTTGGAGCCCCAAAACCCAAGTCGAAGATATAAGACGCCATCTTCTTGGACGGCCAGCCTTCTTTGTGAACACCGTTTGCTCTTCACCTCCTTGGCCAGCTTTTCCACAAGCGCTTGCTCTCAAACAGAGCACCCCCCACCCCCATCTACCCGGCCCCGCCAACTCAATCGGCAGGTGTCCCAATCTGCTCCAGATTACACCATCGTGCATGTGGTGTGTTCCATCCTGCTGGCTGCCCATTCGTTCTTGACGTTGCTTACATGCATGCATGTCAAAAGGAGCCCTTGTTGGAAACGACTTGATTCAGATCCTGGAACCTACGGCTCGTTGCTGGGCAAAGGTGTCCGCTGCCATGTCAAGCGGGTGCTCGGCAGCTCAGGCAGCCAATTAGCTTGTGCAGTGCCATCAAGCGGACGCCACCTTTCTTGGGTGCGCCCTTCTAGACAAAGGAACGCCACGCGTAAGATGGCATGCCATCGCGGAAAAAAAAAAAAGCAAAAGAAAATCTCTTCGTGCCATCGTCAGAGATTGCTCCCCTCCCATTTCCGACTTTGCTGAATAACATCGCTGTCGTGTCGGAGGAGTTGGCCTGGTGGCTTTGCGGGTGGCACACGTCAATCTAGCGCTTGGTTGCCGTTTATTTTCCAGAGTCTGGATCTGTTTTTCCATTGGCGGCCCATTGGCTGCCTCATCGCAAGCTACCGCTCCACTCGGCCACAGTGCAACGCGTGGTCGACAAAGTCTTAAGCGACCCTCGCATTTGCTTGTTCCTGTTGTCTTGCGCGCTGCGGTCCTTGACTGTTGATGACCGTGCCCGCTGAAGAACAACCAATTTTCCTTCGTCGACCCTTTTCCCAGATCTGCCAGCGCTCGTGCTCGCGCTTGCCGCTTTTGCTTTCTCGCCCTCCTGCATTCTCGGGCAGGCACCACCTCCATTGATCAACGGAATGACCCGCGGTTCGACCGCTGGCGGCAAAATGACCGCGTTCTGGCTGCTGTTGGTGGCGGTTAGCCAGGCCTACCCCTTGCTGGACGACGCGTACTCACCGGCTGAGGAATTCTCCAACGATCTCGCAGAGCGTGTTTCGCGTGAATCCGCTCTTAGCCCCGATCTGCGCGCTAATCCGGACACTTGTGTGGCGCTCAATCCACATAGCGTCTTTTACAACCGCGTACCCAAAGCGGCCAGCACCTCCCTCAAGACGCTGGCCTCGCAACGTGCGCACAAAAACGGCTACATTCACATTTCCAGCACCGTCTACAACGATCGCGGCTTTTTTGAAACGGACCAAGAGGAAGCCAATGTTCAACGCATTCAGGCCATCTTTGATCAGTACGATAAGGTTCTGTACGACCAACATATCCGTTTCCTGAACTTTAGCAAGTTTGGCAAGCACCAGCCCGCCTACATCAACATGGTCCGCGAGCCCATCTCCCGAGCCGTGTCCACCTACTACTTTGCTCGTGTGGGCCAGCACAGCCGACGGGATGAGATTCGTGCCCTCCTTGGCGAGCAGGCCGATTGGGACATCAACACTTGCATTGATCGCCGTGAGGAATGCCGCTGGTTCACTTCGAAGATTGAGCACTTTAACCTCATGACCCGCTTCTTCTGCGGCCATTCCGAAGCCTGCCGTGTTGTGGACGATGCCGCCTTTGAGGTCGCCAAGTACAACCTCGAGCATAACTTTGTCTTTGTGGGCGTCACTGAGCGCTTTGCCGAGTCGGTGCGCGTGCTTGAGAAGATTCTGCCCAAGTTCTTTCGAGGCGCCTACCGTACCATCTCCAGCGCTGCTCCCGACGCGTCTCGTCAAAATGTCAATAAGAAAGCAGGTGCCAAGCCCAACCAGGAAAACCTGGAGATTCTTCAACACTTGGCCCGCTACGATCTCGCTCTCTACCAGTTTGCGTCGGGCCTCTTTGAGCGCAAGCTGCAAGCTTGCTTTAGTGGCTTGGACGTGCCAGCGGCTGAGCAAAGTCCAAGCCTGGGGGAGCAGACCAGCCAAGGTGGTTCCTACGACGTGAACGGGTTCTCTGTTCCTCGAGCATGATCATGCCAAGCCTTTTTTGTATCGTGAACCTTTGTTGCTTTTTCTCGTCCCTGGTCCAGGCATATACAGCTTAGCACAGACCTCGTTTGGGCACGGTCCCTTTCTAGTATTGTATGTGGTGGGTCATTCTTTGGCGTCGTCGGGTCACAAAGCAAGGGTGTCGGTGCTCCGGCCCCTTTGCTACCCTTATTATTGCATCTCAACCCACGTTTGAAATACTCGGGTCTCTTTGGGTCGAAGAACGTGTTCTTGACTGTGGTTTCTTCAACCCCTTTTTATCTACCTGTGTTGGCCAGCTTTTTCAAAAGTAAAATCGAAAACATCATGTTTCATCGTGAATGCGTTCATCTCTCATCAATGTCATGGCCTGTCAGTCAGGCAGTGTGGTCAGGCAGGGCTGCCATGTGATCTAAGATCTGTGTGCTTAGGGCCGTAAGCGTTGGGCAAGTCTCACGACGGTGGTCTGTAGCACCACAAGCATGGCAATGGCTTGTGGTCGGCCCGCCGCTAGATGGTGTGCATTGGTGCCCGGGTGGCTGTGTGCAGAGCAGAGCAGAGTGCATCGTTAGGATAAAAAGAGATAGAAAAGATCAAGACCGGAGCCGGGCCGCGGTGGTTGACAAGGTAGAGAGAAGCAGGAAGTCATGGCGCCGACAAGAGATTTATCACAGTCGCACCTGGCACCGCGCGCAGGTTTGACAGTGACGACGACCGGGTTTGACACATGTCTGACAGAGCGCACAGTGGACAAAGGTGCGCCCGTCTTGGGAGGTACAGGTGCCACATGCTGCACAGTGGCGGTTGTTGCGATGCCGATACGCTTGACACGGTTCACAAAACCTGAGACAATGTCAATCCGCACCAACCCATGCAATGTGTGAGGCGTGCGTGGGCCCCAATGTTCCCGAACGCTCTACCCGAACACTTCACCCACCAATAGCCCTCCTTGCTCGGCAAGGGAAACTCTGCTAGGGGCAACGTTGTGTAGAGGCGCACGGGCGAAGGCCGGTCGCCTTTGTTCTGTGCATGTTGGTGCCGGCACGCAACAAGTGTCGAGACTCGGTCAGCTTGGCATCGGGATAGGAGAAGGGTTGAGGGGCCAGGGAAAAAAAAGGAGAGGGCGCACCTTGTAGCGGGGGTGGTTACGATAATCAACCGCATAGTCAGTCATTTGTAGACCCGTGTCCGGACCGACCAACTCGTTCTACGCGATGAAGAATCAAGTAAAAGACCGTGCCGTGAAATGATGCTGGCCGACGGGCTATAGGAGAAGACGCTTGTACACGGTCGCCGTGATGTCTAGAAGGAGGCTTGCCTTATTAAAATATGGAAAGAAAAGAAGCACATGGGCGAGTGGGTACTGGTGGCGAAGACGGCGGATAACGGCTCGCAATGCAGCTAGCGGTACTCCAAAGGGTGGGTCAAGTAGAATACAGGTTGCTTGCGTCGCCAGCTCTCGGGTGGCTTTCTGCTCAGCCTCAACGTGAAAGGTATCCGTGAGCATGTTGTATTGGGCATAGAAGCGGGGCATATTGACGTAGCGGAGCCGTTGATCCAGGTCCCAGAGGCACGAGAGCCGACCAATGTCCCCCACATGCGGGTTAGACGAGAGCACGCCCGCAGATGCGAGTGACTTGGAAGGCGGGCAAGAGGGGGACGATTCTTGAAAGCTGCGTTTGGCGGACAGCAACCGCGAGTAAAAGGGTTGCATAATGTGCTCATGGACGCAGGGCGTGCCAATACACAGGGCTCGGCGCACTTGAGCGCGTTCAAAAAAGTCGTCGAGCATGGCCAGGACGGACGGCGCAAAAAAGTATTGAGCGTGTTTTTCGTCTTGGCTGAGGGGTTGGAGGAGCTGTGATGGTGCCAAACACTGCCCAGCCAAGTGAATCGGGTGTTGAGTGATGGGAAAGGTGAGTGTTTTGGTAGGGGGTGATGCCGTGAGGAGTGTTGACATGTCAGCTAATCACTCGCATGGGCATACCTGATGTCGGGTCACGTTCTGATGGAGCTCGTGCTTGGCGTGGGCAGAGCGAGCATCGGGATGCACAAAGTGGCCACAAGAAACGCAAAAAGAGCGTGCCTTTGCTCGCTTCAGGGCAAAAGTATCAGCCAAGCCCATCACGCCCTAGCGGCACATCACCGATTCGCACCAATAACAGCAGCCGCAATAGCAGTAGCAGGGGGAGGAGGACTTTGAGAAGGAGCGGAGCAGGGGCCGGTCAAACAAGCCTAGCCAAACAGCATCGTCCGGGTTCGGGCATTCTTACAGCAGGGGCTGGAAGACTGGCTTGAGGCAGCGGTGAAGTGCAATCTGAGGCAGTCACGTCTTTCCATGGGATGGGACAGCACGTTCGATTGCCTGAGTGGGCACAATCAAGCTGTGAGATCCTGTTGCTGAGCTCGCTCGTGGTGCACGGCCTGATCAAACGTACTGCGGTCAACGGCACAGGCAAAGAAGGCTTCGGGAGCACGTCCCTGGTCGAAGAAGCGGCAAAACAAGAGCATTGGGCCGTGCGCGCAGGCTGGGCGACGGGGTAGTTGGTCCCACAGCTCCATCCAGCAGTCGGTGCCGACCGCCGCCTGGTCCGAGCGGCCAGCTTTGCGTCGAATCGGAGTGGGCGCACTCGTGCCACGTGAGCCCCGATGCGGAACATGCCGATGACTTTTTGAGGACGGCGATGGCCGCGTTGGCGGTAATCGCCGTGCCATACTGCCTACACGCTGTGACATACTGCCCTTGATAGATTGATTGAGCGTGCCTTCGGCCTCTCCGACCCCAGCTGCACCTCCCCCGCCCCCCCGTTGAATCCCGACCGACCGACCACGCGTTGGCGACCAACTCACAGCAGCTCTCTCTCTCTCTCTCTCTCTCTCAAAAGCAGTCTGACATCATAGATCAACAACAACATCAGTAACACAGTACAAGAAATTGATGAGAGCAGTGGCACACACACACACACACACAACCATTTTGTTTCTTTCCCTTTGTCTCTTTTGTTCAACGACGTTGTTTGTTTCTGTTTGCTGTTGTTGGTGTTGCTGTTGCTGCTGTTGCTGCTTTTCTCAACTTGGGTCCTCAAGGTTAGTGGAAGCGAGGCGAGNTGAGTTGGGGGAGGGGATTGAGCTGGGGTGGGGGGGGTGGGGGGAAGGGAAGGGAAGGGCGTCGGGTGTGGGTTGTTCGTTGGGATTTGGAACGTGCGTTTGACTGACTCTGTGGGTGTGGGGGTGCGCAGGGGGTGTTTGTGCGCACATCCAAGCGCTGGCGCGTTCCTCTTCTCGTGTTTTTGTTGACAACGAACAAAACTGCTTGCTTCGTCGCGCGCTCTGCTCTCGACGCGCAGTGTGCAACAGGGCGCTCGCTTGGAAAGTTTGATGCTGGGGAGGCGTAGCAAGACCGTGTTCACCCTTGACTTACGCCAAAGGGAAGGCCACATTCCTCTCGCGTTCAGACGCTACACACGCAGCATGCAAACGAGTCTTGTATAGACTTGTCTCGCGACCAACTACCGCGAGCGGGCGCTCAAGGGCGCGCCCGCTCTACTGACACAGGCGAGAAGAACTCTCCTTTTCTTGCCCGACTTTCTGAAATCCAGCCCTCTCTTCATTGCACGCCATGTCGTGGTTTGAGGCCTTCTCGGGCGGCTTTCAGCGCCGCATCGCACGCTTTGCTCTACACAACGTATGCAACTTCGCTCCCCGCTCTTTGCCAAAGGCCCATCAACCATCAGCCGGGCAGTGGAGTGGAGGAATTTGTGCTTGCAACACAAGGCTCACGACTTGTCACGCTCATCTCGGATGGGGTATACTCGCTGCGGACCTTGGTAGACCCTCGGTACTTTCCTCAAATACAAGCTGAGTTTGGATCAAGTGGATATCGCCGCCTCTGGAGCCTTTGTCCTCGATAACCTCGAGCTCGATCATGAGGTCAGGCAATTTTGCAGCCCCTCCTCTTCGCTTGCAGTCGCGCATCTGTGGGAGGGAGGACATGCTCGCCCGTACAGTGCGCAATGCCTTGCATTCTCTCGCTGGGTTTGCCGAAACCTGCTTTCGAATCTCACAGGGCTATTCGCGCCCCTGGTCGTAACTCCCACCTGCACCAGAGCCTCGATCGGTATCTCGTGGCCAGTCCCTTCAAGCTGGTGGGCGGATGGATCACCGAGCTTCGCGGCGAGATTCCATATGCCGTACGTACTTGCTTCTTCAATACCGCCTACCCACTCGACTGTCTTGGGGCCCCAACTCCCGGCTGCTGCTCATGCAACCATCATAACACGCACATATTGAAAACGACATTTGGACCATACCTCTCGTGACTTGACACGTCCATGCTCATTCTTGCTTCGGGTCGGCGGTTTGCAGCAACTCCTGTCCCGGGATTGTAGTTTTACCATCGAAGGCCTGGAGCTTTGGCTCGAGCCTCGCGCACCGGCAGAACACATGAACGCCTCGCACCACGAGGCCTTTGATGACGCCGTGCGCGACCTGGAACATGCTATTGAAGACTTTTCAGGTACCCTGGCCCAGGACATTCAGGGCTCACAGCCCGACGTGGAGCTTAGCCACGTGGCAGTTGTTGTCAAACGCATTCTCTCTCGCTTACGTGGTCAGCTGCGGAACGTCACCATTCGCCTCTTCTCCGCATCCACGACTCAAAGCTCCGATCAGGCGATGCTTCTCTGCTCCTTGAGCAGCATCGAGGTGCTTGACGTATCACGCGAGGCCACGGCCGTTCAGCGCGATGCTCACGAGGCCGAATATGATGCCGCTTTGGCGGCCGAGCTCCGCAAACAAGTTCGTTTTGAGGGGCTGACGATCAGTCTTGAGCACGGTCACATGGCGCAGGACCTGGAACTTGTGGTCACACACTCGCAGCCCGTGCTGAGCAGTATTGACAGTAATGACAGCGCTAACCTCATCGAAGTCATCTACCGGCAAGCACCTCGGCGACAGCTCAAAGTAGAGGTCTTTCTTCAGCGCTATCTCGCCCGCCTCGACCCCGCTGTACTGCACCAGCTCGCGCTGATGAGTGAAGTCTGGGCTTTTGCTGAAGACCAGGGTGTGGCGTCTTCACACTCTGGCCCCGCCCCCGCGGCCCCACCTGCGAGTTTGGCTCCTGCGCACGCCGGGGCAAGCGCTGCCGTGGCATTCGATGCGTCTGTGCGCATCATGGACCTGGTAGCCATCCTTTCCTACGCAGCCCCATCACACGATGCTGGCGTGGCGGCGCAGCGGTTCCAAAGCAACGCAGCTTGGTTGGGTCGCCATGGTTCAAGTCGCAAACCGACTGCCACGCCTGCGGCCCTTCACGCCCAGCTCCCCGAAATGCTGGATAGCGACGAAGCAGGTTTGGTGTTGGCCTTATCCCAATCTCTCCTGCGCGTTGGCGATGGCGGTCAAGCCCAGCTTGAACTCACGAGTGAAGCTGTGACCGTGTACGACTGTGCGGGCAGCCACAATTGTCGGTGTCTCCTCCGCGCACGTACGAGCACTGTCGAACAGCTGAGTGCCAGCGACAGCGTCACGAGTGATGCGGTGCCGGAAGATGCCCTGACAGTGCGTCTGCCGCGCGAATCCACAGCCATTGAAGTGCGCTTGGCCCCAGACACCTTCTTGCAGCTGGATCTTTCGCTATTGGATCGTCTGCAGGGTCTCCTCAACGTTGCCGGCGCGCAGTCATCCTCATCTCTCCCCCCAAAACAGCCAGGCGTTGCCCAGGATGAGGCGCCGGAGGGCCTGCACATTGTCGTGAGCGGCGGTTCATTGGATGCTGTTGTTTTAGTACCCATTAACAGCACAGCTCGACACAACCTATCGGATGGCTGGCTGCACGTACCATCCTTTCGTGCACAGGCCCTGCACGCCCGACTCGAGGACTTTGTCCTGCATTTCTACAACGATATGCGTGGTAGTGACTGGCAGCAGGACTGCTTGGGGCTGCCGATCCCAGGCCTTGAGCGTTTGCTTCAGATTGAAGCGCAAAGACTGACTCTGGGCCACACCCCAACCCAAACGCTCACGCCGACAAAAGTTGTTGCGCTGCGTGGTGCTGCTACAGGTCGCGACGGTCGGGCTGGGCTCCGCGTTCTTGGACCTGGTGGCAAGCACGTTGTCGCGCCTGCTGCCAAGTCTGGGTTTCCCATGACCATGCGCACACACGCGCGCACCCAGCAGCAGTTTCACGAGCCAATGTCAGAGGAAGCCCTGTGGGCATTTGCGCAGGCTGCTCTGCCCTGCAGCTTGACCGCTGTCACGGTTCACCACGCCTGTGTTGACCTTCACTGCGAGAAGGCACAACTTGATGAACTCTATCAACTTGCGACCGAAATGGCCGACTGGGTGATGTGGTCGGATGTGCAGGCCAATGTCACGTCCGGTCCAAGTGCACCCGGACTTGGTGAACCCACCATTGTGTCAGCCACGCCCGCGGCTAGCTCTGAGTCCACACCCAATCTGGCGACATCCGTTTGGGCAGCACCTGCTGTTGACGGTGAGAGCGATGCGGAAAGCGGTGAGGATGACCAAGGGACGCCCGCGGAGCAGGGGCGCTCCGTTGCTGGTGATGTCGTCGTCCACACTGCGCACAAGATGGCCTTTGTTCTTGAGTTTGCCGAGTTGGACGTGAGCGTTGTTGAATCCCATCCGGAGCGATCGGGCGTCTTTGACGTACGCCTGTCTCGGGGCCAGCTGCTCCTTCTGTTGGGCATGCAAGGCAGCCAGAACATGAGTTTAGCTCTTCGCGGCGAGCAGCCCTACGTGGCTCAGCGTGCCGTCGTCGGCAACCCCAACGATCGCTTTGATGTGATTACACCCGTCTATGCTGAAGCAGAGGCCAGTCCCTCGGTCTTCTCCATTTGTCTCTGTGCGCAAGCCGCCAACACGAGCCAAGTGCAGGCGCGCACGACCGTCGCTTGTCTGCTACAGGGGGCGCAGTTTCGATATTTTGTCGATCCACAGGGGTTGTGGCTCTTCCGGATCTTGGATTTGCTGGATTTTCCGGATCATCCCGGTATGGCGTCAACTCCCAAAGCGACCACATCGGCAAAGGATACTTTGACGGTGCTCAACGTCTTTTTCGAAGATAGCGAGGTGGTTTATCAGCCGTATGGAAGCCAGGCCGCCTTGTTGACGCCCGTGGCGCGCGTGACCGTGAGCAGCAATCTGTACGCGGCCACGCCCATTACCGTGGTGAGCATTCTGCTCGAAGAAATAAGCGTCCTTGCCATTGATGACGTCCGCAAACTGCAGCGTGGCCAAGATTGGCAAGCACGTGGCTGGCGCAAGTTGGCTTTTACAACGTACACACGCCTCGACCTGCGTCTAAGTGACGTAAGCGGGGAGATTGCCCAAGACTTTGGCATTACCAACGAGCTGCTCTCCGTTTATGTTTGCGCCGACTCGCTACCCACGCTCGTCGAACTCTTGTCGGGAGCTGTCGGAGGCGATGACGAGTATCTGGCCGAGCAAGTCGAGAATCTGGCCCGCGTGGCGGCGGGGGATACCTCTCTGCCATCGACGCGGACTGCATCGTCCGGATCAGCCGAGCAGGCTTTGCCGAGCCCTCTCGCAGCGGGGCCCAAGGCCGCAGACGCTCTTGAGGAGTCTGGTGGTGATTTGTTCTTTTCCATCATGTCAGATCCAGACGATGTCGCAGATGCCACTTCCGAACCGACTGCAACAACCTTTGCAGCGCAAGACGCATCGAGCAGCCGGGCGTCAGATGCTGCCGAAGAGGTTCTGGATGAATATGATGATGACTTTGAGGAGGATGAGGATCAGGACACAGAAGCAGAAATGGAAGCAAGCCTGGTGCACACTCGCTCCCGTGCACCACGTTCACCCACCGTGGAGTTTGATGACACGCTCATCGCAGAACTTGAGATGATGGACGACGGAGATGAGGCTGAGGTCGAGAGGAACGACGACGGAACAGAGCGGTCTGGGTTGGGCCTACATGCGAGAGGCTCGCATTTGGACGTGTCAGCCAGTCCCAGTACAGCGAGTTTGGATTCCTTCATGGTATCCGAAATGGATCGGGGTGATGGGGCGGGGTATCGGCATCCTGCACAAGTACCACCGGCGGTGCCTGGCGCCACTGATTCAGCAGCCATTCAGCAGGACCTATCGGATGCATTGGTTGAACCGTTGTCTGATTCAGCTGACGACACGTCCCAGGCGCGATCGGCGTCAGGTCTACCTTTGGAGGGCCTCACTGCGCTGCGTCTCGACGAGGACTACCTTGCGCAAACGTTTGAGTCAGGGGCAGCAGTGCCAGATATGCCTGACGTGACCAGCGTCTTGCACGATGCTTTGCTGAGTCCGTCACGAACAGTGAGCCACCCGAATGACTTGAATACCCCGACAGGCACCACGCCAACGGCCTCGATTGTGAGCTACCGAGGCCATGAACGCGTGGGTGCCATGATCCAAGACGGGGGTCAGCCAGCTGATTTCATGTTTCAAGATGAGGACAGTGACTTGGTCGTACGCAAGTTTGTTGATCCAATCAGCTTCAAGCGCAATTTCTTCACCATTCCAAAGCAGGATGACGATGCAGACTTTCGGTTGGTGCATAGCTTGGCTTGCTTTAGAACTCTGCTGGCCTCTTCGCCTCTTCTGCGGGTTTCAGGGGGGTTTTTTTTTCCCCCGCACTTTTGCTCACCGCTGTGGCATCGCTTTGCAAATACCTTGCGTGCGACCAACGTTTTCCTTCTTGAATTCGGACGTTATGCAGGGCTTACGACTTTTTGCCTCTAGCGAAGCGACGTGTTCTGATCAAGCGTCTCAACATCAAGGTGCATTTGATCCGCGGACGGCATTGGCAGGACGTATTTCCAGATGACTTGGATCCTGTAGGTCAGGCGGCAGGGTTCCCACGTGTGGCCCCTTCGCTCTTGACGTCGTCCTCGCAGACGGCGCCCAAGGCAGGCGTTGACGACGAAGGCTCTAACCAGGGACCCCGTGTGGTACGCGAGAGTCAGAGCGTCGATAACGAGGGCCTTGAGATTGATTTGCACCAGCTGACAGTCATTTCGGAAAACTATGATCAAAATGAACTGTATGCATCGCGGCTCTTGGTGCTGTCTCGCCAGATCAACGTTTTTGATCGGTTGCCCGAGTCTGTGGTCAACATGCTGTTGTGCGACTACACCTCGCGTCACGTGCATCGCGAGGCCAGCTCCAACATGTTACGAATGGAGCTAATGACAGTGCGCACGCCTGAAGTAACCGGCGAAGCGGCGTTGGAGGCCATGATGAAGCTACGCATCCTGCCACTGCGCATCAACCTGGATCAGGACACACTCAATTTTTTGATGGAGTTTCTGGCTTTTGCGCCACGCGGTAGCGAGGCGGCACAGCGGGCTGACTTGTTGACGGAAAACTGGCAGCAAATTGATATCGATGACAATAGCGGCCAGCCCGTTGAGCTCTCAAGTGCCCCTGCGGACGCAAAGCCGGCGCGGGTTAGCGATCAGGAGTCACGCTTGACAGCTCAGACTCATGCAACGTTGAGCGAAGGCTCGAACGGCAGCGAAACGCAACAGGACAGCGAGACCTCGGACAGCGCGAGCGACACCAGCAGCGCTCAAGTGAACGGTACCTACTTTAAAAAAGTACTCATTGAACCCGTCCTCTTGTGCGTCAACTATGCCCCAAAGCATCTCTCGGTGTCTGAACTGTTTCATGGTTCTTTTGAGCAATTGGCCGGCGTCATATCTTTGAACGACGCCAAACTGTACCTGTCTCCGCTCACAGTCAAAGGTGCGTGCCTTCCCGATCCCATTCGCTGGTTACGTGTGTACGTGTGCAGGTTTCACGGGTTGGAATGGTTTAGTTTCGACCGTCATGGACGCATGGATGCCCCGAATCCCCTTTAAGCAGGTAGGACCCGTTTTGTTGGGATGAAGGCCCAGTTGACCCCCCCCCCCCCCCCGGCTTTTTTTTCTAGTTATTTTTATCTTCTTTGTTTTTTTTTTGGAAAGGTTGAGTGGGCCATCGTAATACTCATGTGTTTTGTGGCTTTCTTTCTTTGTGACTGCATCGGGCCCGTCAGGTGCATCAATTGGTAATTGCAATTGTACCTGGGGGCACCAACGTGGCCTCGGTGATGGACGCCGGTGCAGACATTGTCTATCGGCCCGTGCGCTCGTATCCATATGTTTTGCAAGGTGCAGATGCCTGTCTTGTGCACGCATAGAGGCTCGCTGCTTTAAAGGCGGTCTGACACGGTTCTTTTGACATCATGGCGACGATCATGGTCGATTGTAGGCTTTCGAGAGGGTGTGACGGATGGCATCAGAGTGACGGCAGTGGAGATGTGTAGCGTGGCCACGGCCATGGTTTTTGCTGTACAAAACGCGCTCGAGTTGAGTCAGGTAGGCTCTTGGATACGGCGATGATGAATTGTGATGTAAAAGCTGCACCCTGGAGGATGGCACTCGGCACTCAAACATGTTTGGGTTCGGCTGTGCTCTTTGGGGAAAACTTGCATAGCTGATCACAATGAACGACCAGGAGCACCAAGCTGCGCTAGCACGACCGCCACGCAGCCGTATGGCTCAACAGCCACTGGACACGGCGGTGCGTAAACGCTGTAGTGATGAATTGGCTCGCTTGTTATTTTGACCGTTTATGGTTTGGCAAGCTCGTCCCGGAGATCAGATCAACCCTTCTCCGCTGATGCGTGTTGCAATTTGTACCAATGTTGTGACAGGATGGGCTGCAGCAAGCGTATGATGCCCTGCGGCGATCCATTGCCGCGAGCTACGACAAGTTTGCCTCGGTATGCGCCTCAATTGATTTTTGGGTACCAGGGCGCAAGATTCAAAGTCTGCATGCTCAGTGGCCGCCATCTCACTGCTGGGGCTGGTGTGTTTGGCTGTGTGCCTTATAGGTACCGGAACGCGCTCGACAGACGACGGTCATGAAGTCCATTGCCCTTCTCTTGCGCACATTGCCGAGTGCCACCCTTCAGCCTCTGATCGGGGTGTGTGAGGCCACAGCGCTGGCATTGCAGGGCGCGCGGAACAGCCTGGCGCCGCGAAGGGGTCAGGAGCTGGCCCAACAATACAAGCCGCTGTAAAGTCTGTTTGCTTTTATGACGCTTAACGGCGCTGAAAAGAAAGGAGGTGTTGTCGAGCCTTTTTTTCGTTTTTCGATAAAACCCAATTTGATCGATCTGAGAACAGTGTGACGAGAAAGATACTCCATGCTCGTATCAGCTTTACATGTTAGTCACAAGATGGCGGCATAGGTAGGTGTTGTGTGCCGGCGTAACTCTGTCTGCATGTTTCTGTGTTTCTCCATGTCTCGCGGTGTCTCTCTATGGTTCTATGTGTGTCTGCCCTGCGTACTTTGTTCGATACGCAATGTTGTTTTGCACAAAGATACCAGTATGGATGACTGGCTTTAAACTATTGTCAAACGTTCAGCAGCAAACAGGGGGGGAAAGCGTCGGCAACCGCGACGATGCACATGGGCTCAGCAGGGCACAGTCAAGCCTCGCTTGCCTCAGTGTCGCTTTTTTTACGATCGGATCGCATGATAACGCACGTCTGCTCTTTTGGTGATGATGATGGTTGCACATGCGACCGACCCCGCTTCAGCTTGCCCTTTGAGGTCGCGTTTTGCGAACTTTGGGATGAAGAAAAAAGGCAACGAAGCCGAAAGATGTTGGCAGAAGAAGACGAAGGAAGCGACATTCGTGCTGCACCTAGAGTGCGGACATTGTCAGACGATTTCCCGGTCGTGTGCGAAGAAAGAAGTCTGGAGCCCTCTTGCGAATGTGGACTGATCATCCGCCCAAGGACCGCTGGGTGCTTCAGAGCTTGTCCCCATTATGGCGTGGCTCGGTGCATGGTCAAGCGCCAGTGTCCCATTCGTCGGTCGCGTACAAGTGGTTTGCGCGCCGCCGGAGAAGGCATTTTTCTGATCCCACTGATCACAGCAAACAGCAAGCAAACCAGCAACGAACTCAACTACTCTATCTACGACTTTGACACTATCTGGACGAGCAAGACTCATTCCGAACAGCATCATGGCCTCAACCACGCACACTGCCACCAACATCCAGAACACGAAGGTGGCCGACAAGCCTCAGGAGGACAAGTCCTTCATGGATAAGGTGGCCGAGAAGTCCCAAACCAAGCTTGAAGAGTGGCGTGATGCCATCAAGCCCGGTGTTGACAAGACGGTCGAGGACCTCAAGGAGGTTGGCGCCAAGAGCGGCAAGAACGTGGACAGCAGCGTGGACGCCTACAAGCAGTCGATTCACCGCATGGCTGAGGGCGAGCACAAGGAGCAACGCGCCGAGCGTGAGACTGGCCCCAACTCGCGCGAGAAGTGGCAAGATCGTTGGGATAACACCAAGCAAAGCACCGCTGCCGCCATTGACAAACGCCAGTTCAATGGCCCTTCATCGGAAACGACCACACGTTCGACCAACCAGCTGTAAACAGCTTCAGGCCCATTGCCCCGGCTTGTCATGTTAACATAAATGTCGTTCTCCCCCCCCTTTTCTGCTCGAGCGAAGAGTGTCATTTAGCACCAATTTTGTGTGGCTTTGTTTGCCCTTCTTGATGGGAGGCAACCCAAAAGTCCCGTTTGAACTTGATGTCTACAATGTTTCCTCTTTGAACGCCCGTACGTCTTGTACAAGTCGCCAAGCGGCTTCCAGTAGCTGATATTCATTTCCTACTGGCTTTGTAATTGAGTGCACTTTTTTGATTCAAGACTTTTGACCCGCCCTCGACTGATTCATGATGGTTTGTGAGATGGTTTGTGAGGTGTCACGTGGGGGTGCAGGCAGACACCGACAAGGGGTGCAAAAACATGGCATGGAGTTCACATTGGGGTTGTTGGTCAGAATACAATGTCATCGTCGCCGCAAAAAGTGTTAATTCAGAGTAGAAGACCTGGCACAGCCAGCTGAGAGACAGACAAGAGAGCCCTGAGCAATCGTTTCACACCTAGACGCACTGAAGCGTGCAAACGACGCGCACTCCCTGGTATCACGACTCGGGGTGTGCGGCGCTCGCCGGGAGCTGAGCCGCCCATTCCAGCAGAGCGTCGTCGTCTGACAACGCATCATCGGAGGTGACACGATCCGAGAGCGCGCGTGTCTGGTCCGTCTCTTCAATGAGACGGGATCCGGCGGTGGACGCCAGGTCAGCCATGGATGACGCTGCCGTGGCATCACGGCGTACGCTTTGAGGCGACATTCTCTCCACTGTCAGACTGCCTCCTGCTGCGGGATGCGAGGTGGTGTTACCGTCAGCCAGAGACAGCCACTCAAAGCGTAAACGTATGCGATCATGACATGGCAACGTGGAAAGTCTGAAACAGCGAGAACAGGGGGAAGACGACTCACTATCGGCTTTGTTGTCAAGGCCGTACAAGCGGCGCATGGCTGCTCTCCGATCCTGACGAGCACCCGAGCTAGCACGGTGTGTAGAGACGTGTTCTTGTCGAGCTTTACGCAGGGCCTGAGCGCCCCGCTGCTGTGAGCGCTAACTCAGCATAGCGCCGGTAAGCATGAGTCAGAGGGTGGATGGAACAGTGATGGCAAAAGGCAAAGATTCACCTGTTGTTCGCGATCCGACAGGCCAATCCTAGCCACGTAAGCGAGGGAGATATCAAAGTGTGAGTGAATGATGAGAGTGAGGGCGCCGCGTGGGAAGGTGGTCGAAGTTTTTTTTAAGTGGGAGCGTCAAGCATGTGCTCGGTCACCTGAAGCGAAAGTCCGTTTTGAAGTCGTTCAAGACATGCTCGACAAAGTCACCCAAGCGACCGGTGGCAGCTTGAGCTGAAGAGTTTGAGTAGCCACCAAGGTTTTGGATGAGGAAAGGCGATGAGTGAGACTCGAGGCAAGCCAGCGGAACACGGACCATCATGGTGAAGCCATCGCCAGGTATTGGCACGACCACCAAGCTCGGCGGGCAAGTTATCACGGAAGGCTTGCAGCTGGGCAAAGTCGCGGGCATCAACAACGTCGCTCTCCTCGAGCACCTCAGTCTTGGATTGGAGATAGGCATCCGTGGCCACCTGGGTTGCATGTATTCGGACGTCATGACGGTTGCTTGCCCTTGCAAACGGGCCATTGGATAAAGGGTACATACCACATCCATGTACCGCTCAGCCCCCATCAGCGAACGGGCTTGAGCAGCTGCCTGCGGGTATGGGCAAGAAAACGTGGGACAAGCCATGAGGTTTCCCCATCCCGGGAGCAGCGTCGCTCAGAGCCAAGTTCAATACCACGGTGAAGCAGGCGGGACACGGCTCCTCCTTCAACTCGAGGCCACTACGTGCGCACTAGCCTCACCTCCGTAAGTGGGGCCACGACATGACGGCCGTTCATGTACTTGACGCGCGCCAATTGGCTGGACACAAAAACCTTGTACATGATTTGTGGTTCTTGCGTCCCACCCAACCTAGCAGCGAGGCGGCCTCGAGTATATCAGCAGTAGTATCTCACTGTCTTTGATCTGCTGTTCATGATGAGACAGGGCAACCAAACCTGAGTCGAACGGTAGCTCGCACAAGCGGGTCGTTCAGCATCTCGGCCTCGACCGGGCAGAGCTGGCGCAACAAGTCATCGGCCAGCACCGTCTCCTATCCATTGCCGTGCGACATGCGAATCGATCATTCAAGGACGATAGGAAATCAACAGGTCTTTGCACGCCCTGCCACGATACGCACGGCATCGCGAACTAATTTGGCCAAATGTCGGTATCGCCGACGCACAACATGCCCTCGCCAGGCAGCCGCGATTCTTGAGGCAGCCACGGCGCGTTCCATTGCAGCGGGGCCATTGACCGCCATCGTCCCCAATGCTTGGCAAACCAGCAGCCCCTGCACTATCGACGCCTTTTCTCTCCCCGCGTCTCAAGTCCCGTTGACCGGCTTTCCGACTGAGAGGAGAAGAGCTCTCCTCCTTGTCGGTGTGTGTGTGTTTCGCCAATTTTTTTACAGTTCGTTCACAACGCCGAAATTTTTTCGGCGGCGAGAAAACAGATCAAATTGGATGACAAATGAACGAACGCAGTGAACGGACCAAAACTTTTTGACGATGATGAAATCAGAAAAGTAATTTACTTTTGTCTCGTGGTTAAGCAATCACCCCATTCTTGTGTGCTGTTGCCGTCGTCGTTGTCTTCATTTTTTTGGCTCACTTTTGCTGTTGTGCGCCTGCCGGCGTGGTTGGCTGCTGCTGCTGCTGCTGCTGCTGCTGCATTGCTCGGACTTGCTTGCATACCGTGCGTGCCTGGCACGCATCGGGCTGTGTGCGTGTGTGCATCTCTTTGACTGGGTGTAGACCGCTCGCCTTGTGCAGCTGTTGGGCTCATACCTAGCTGCAACTACCCCTTCCCCCCATTCGGGTGCCGGCATTTCGACATCCACCTGGCTCAAGTCCTTTCCAGAGCAGACAGCTTCAAGCCGGTGCGCAAAAGGTGCGTTTGTCAGAATACCGCTCATGGCTTGCCTTTGCTCAGCGCCTTCCCTTGCCGCGTGAATTCTGTCGCATTCAGCTTGTGTTGTGTTCAGCATCAACCTCATCGGGCGTGCGCCACGCTCGTCGCAGGCAGCGGCCGCTTGGGTGCCGCGCCTACCGGCATGGCCACGCCGCCGGTCGCCCCGTCCCAGACCCGCCTGGTGCAAGGCTTCTTGACAAAGCGCGGTCTCAAACTCAAGGTTGGCTGTGACCCGACAGTCGGAGCAGAGCGCCTGCAACTCGATCCTTGCATGACGATTGCTCACACGTTCTCAACTTTGGTGTGGACTTGCTTGCCCTCTTGCAGACGTGGAAGCTGCGCTATTTTGTCCTGTTCGACAATCGCGTCCTCTGCTACTACAAGCTCAAGGACTTTCCCACGGCCAATGCGCGTCTACCAGAGCCGCTGGGCACCATTGACCTTGCTCGCCCTTTTCGCCTTTTGCTTGGCGCAGCCAGTACGTGGCCGCATGGATTCTTGCCACCTTTCACGCGATGCTTTCCGGTCGCTCCACCAGATCCCCTGCTCATCCCCGTTACACACCTTCTCTCTGGCTTAGTTCCTCCGGTCGAATGGCCGAGCAACGCCAGCGTTGAGGCCGTCTTTGGACTCGAGACAGCCGAGCGCATCTTCTATCTCGTCAGCACTCGGGAAGACTATCCCACTTGGGCGGCAGCCTTACATCAGGTTCGACTCGATGTCGTTCGGGTTCTCATGGTGAATAAAAAGCAACAAAAGCAACTCACTTTTGGCTGCCTGCGTGACGCAGGTGCAACTTGTGAGCTCTGCTGAACACTTCATCGCATCAGACACACCATTAGTTCCAGACGAGGTCAGTAATGCCAACATGATAACAATACTTCGCCCCCCGTTTTTTTTTTACCCCCTCCTTCATTCGTTGTTTCGACGCTGCTTCCGGCTGACCCAATTGCACTTGTTCTCCGGAATACATCAGAACTCTGATGCAACAAGGATAACGAGCTCGGCTGAGCCGCTCAATAGCCTTGACCACTCCAGCAAACCCGAAGAGGCGGATGCTCTTGCAGATCACCCCTATCTACCCCCAAATGATGATGGCACAGTTCCCGTCATGCCCATTTACTCGCAGGTGGACAAGACGAGAAAAGCCGCCAGTCCTGAGCTTAGCCTACACGAGGCACAGCAGGAGCTGCAAGCTCTCGACCTTCGTACTCGTCCGGCCCCACCGGCCGAGGATGCGCCTGCCAGACGCCGCCCCGCGGCCTATGAAAATATCGATGTTGGAAGAGACATCAATTTCCCGCCTGCCGGTGCCCCTGCTTTGATCCTTGAGCCCGTGGGCGATCGGGCCGCAGTTGCACGAGTCAACTACACGGAGGTCACCTTTGATAAGAACCAGGTCGAGTCAAACAAGCTGCGCGACCCGCCGACCGCCCGCACCGTCTATTCCCAGATAGACTTTGACAAAACCATGCAACCTGCCAGACCTCCAGCTTATGAGAGCATGGGTGGGCCAAACTAGCTGGCCAAGCCTTGCATGCGCCGCCTAGGGTGCATTTTGAATCCCGTGACAAATTGGTTTTGGTCGTGTGGGTCGTATTTGCGTGCTCACTCCCATGCTCCCTTCATCGCTTACACGAGTCAAATTAAAGACAATCACATTTTCAACCACACCCCCGTCCTTGCTTCCTCCTTATCAGACATGCATGACCGCTTGAGCATTTACAACCCTCGTTTCGGCTGTTAATCCGAACGAGACAGCAAACGCATCACACGACGCGATGCAATGCTGCATGCAAGTGCTCCAAAAACTCTTGATGTTCACGAGCATTTGGTACCTGTGTATGCCGACATGCACGTTGCATGTTGATGAACCAAAGGGACGTCACGCGGATTGGCACACCTCACTCAAAAAATGCCGCCATGCGACCGAAGTTCGCAACAGCGACCTTCCACGTGCACGTGACTGGCTTGCATACCTTGGCATTGGCATGAAGCAGGTTGAAAATCACTCGGTACTGGTCTTCCGTAAAGGTGGCCGCACCATTCAAAATGCTGGCAATAATGTCTCGTTCCGTCAGGAAAAGCAAGTCGTAGTACTGCATGGCCCGCGTCAGCACAATGGTGTGCGACATTTTAGAGCTATAATGTGCCCACACAACATGGTCAAGTCCTCGTCTTGACCGGTGCAAGGCCTGCGGGGGTGTGAGCAACGTACCTGGCAAAGTACTGCTGAATGGCAAAGATGTTGCGCTTCATGCGTTTAATGCCATGATCGTTGTAGCGCTTGATCCACCGCAGGCCTACACACATGCATCATGTCAAACCAGGACAATTATTGGATTGGGGACACCTCTACCAAGCCCGATCGATTGGCACCAGAGTCGAGCTGCATACCATGAATCAAGACGCTCGCGACGAACGAGTCCAGACCTTCCAAGACCAGTGCCGCACGAGCCTACAATCACCGGCAAGCATCAGAGGCATACCCGTGTGTAGGAATCATGCACGGCAACATGGGACAAAACAACAGAACAAGTGAAACGTGTCTGCGAAACTGTGTTTCTACCTCGGATAAAACACCATAGAGGGCTTCCTCGACAGCCAGCAGGTTGCGATTCAGGTCAATGATGCGTGGGTCCGTTTCCACGGCGTCCGCCTCACAATAGTAGGATGTGAACTTGAGGACTGGAAGCAAGAAATGAAGACACCTGCACCACATCACGGCCAAGTAGAAAGGTTAGTCAATCGAGCCAACGCTCCATGTCCCGAAGCCTGCAAACTTTGGTCAAAAACACCAGGCCCACGCTGCCTCTCACCGTGCGCGCACATCTAGCTTGAGGAAAAGAATCGAATTGTGACACATTGTCTCCAGATCAGCCACCGTGGCTTGCAACCTGTCCAAAGTCAAACAGGGTATGTGGGTCAGCGTGGTGCGACCTAGTCTGAGGACGCTTCCTTGAGCGACCGGTAATTTGCTGTCAACGGCACGCACTTGCTCGTCACTTGCGCCAACTTATTGCGCTCCAACATGCGCGTGGCCGTGTTGTTGTCTGCTTTCAGAATGGGTGATACGCCCTTGCCCCAGAGTCTGAAAGGATGGCCGTCATAGCGGTGGCGTTAACGAGCAGACTGACATACATGTTCACCTAGAGACACCATCACACAGGCAAAAAAGATGCTCAAGGCTCACGTACTCGGGAAGTGTGTGCGGCTTATCGTTGAGCGCTACAATGACGCCCTTGACATAGTCGAGCAGCCATGTCAACGACTCAGCTAACTGGCCCATCGAGCGAATGTTGGCCACTTCAGCGACAATGTCACCCTTTTCCAGCATCTGGTCACCCAAAACCTTAATGATGGTGTTGGCCTCGTCTGCTGCCTGCTTGGCAGCGCGCGCCCTGCCATGTACCATGTGAAAGGCACAGGTTCATGTCAAAAAAAAAGTGATGGCGGTCACCGCGGACCCCCCTCCTCCCCCCATCTCTCTTTCAGGTTTTGAAATAAACAAAACAAAAAAACTTACACGGTCTGATCAACGGGCTCCTCTCCAAAGCCTAAAATTAGCCAATCCTCATCATCCTATTGTCCATAGAAACGATCAAGGCAATTGAAAAAAAAAACAAAAAAACAAACAACTCCGCCCCACCCCCCCAAAAACAAAAAACAAACAAACACCCCAGCGAGCAGATGCTCAGCCGTCAAGTACGAGCCGCATCTGACATTCGTCAGCCCCATCAATTGACGCACCGTCGCGACCAAGCCCTCTGGCTCACCGTACACCTTGATCCAAGCCTCTGAGCTCGTGAGGCGCTGGCGTATGCGAGGATGAACGGCCCAATCCATGGCCACCACGGCATCTCCCTTTGAGGTTTTGGAAGCCCCCACGGGAGCCTTTGTCAACACTCTAAAGCGTAACTGACAAAACTTGAGGTACCTGATATCAAGCACAGAGCAAGTGTGTGTCAGCTTCTAGTGCAAAGCGTGTGGAACGACGATTGGCGGGCATGTGCCTCATGAGCGATCATGGTTGGGCTCACTTGAGAAGGATTTCATCGTGCATAGTGCGTGCAATCTCGTTGAGAAAGGCAGGTACATCATGCAATACCGCCAATAGCTGTCCAATCAACCTGAAAAAAAAAAAAAATACAAAAACGAAACACAAACCAAATAAACAAACAAAGAAAACATCCGCGTCCACGTATCACCTATCACCAAGATTGTGCTTTTCCAGTCACATCAAAGGTAAAATGCAGGCAACATTCAAGCTTACTGATGCACGCGCCAAGCCGAGGCGTTGACCATCCTGCATTGGCAGATGCGCAGTTTGATCAGGGGCTCAGTGTGAGATTTGAGCTTGCGTGGCTGTGGCCATGACAGTGTACTCATGGATGGACTAACTTTCCGGGCGTAGCTTCGTAGTGGGCTTCTTCGATGCTAAAACCGGCATCACCCGTAACGGACTGGAACTGACGTCGCACGGCATCTTGCAAGTGTGCAAAGAACCGGACCCGCATGTACGAGTCGACAAACAACATCAAGCCTAAAGTTCATCAGAGTGTCTTGTGAGTCAACACCAGCGGAAAGGCTGGGAATGACTACAAAAAAGCTTGCTTCTTTGCTACCTGATTTCATGGCCGTAAAGTGCATAACGTCTTCCGTATCTTGACAAAAACGGAAAATGGGTTTGAAACTACGTGTGGCAAGCAAGAATGTGGTCATGCACATGATATAGCAGGAAGTACAACGCCCATTTTCCGAAAGAAGAAAATAAGAGGTGAGTGGCGACGAAAATTCATAGTCACGAACGCGGCAAGAATGTTGGCAACGTGACGCGAGCACGAAAGTTGCTCATGAACGCCACGTGCAGTTGTGTAGTTATCGCCAGGTGCCGTTCCGCGATCCTTGTCATCGTCGTTGGCCAAGCGGCGCTCAGCCAAGGCTTCCTACTCTCAGACAACAGGCGATCCCATTTGCGATTCGAAGCGAATGAGTCTTGATGTGACGGAGCCATCAGTTTGTTTCCTGTGGTATTTGCATCCAAAATGTTCCGCAGGAGCCATTCTCGGGACAAATGCTTCTGGTGCATCACGGAGGAAGAGCCGGCCCTGGTTCGCCAGACAGACCGTGTCTCGAATGGCGTTGAGGGAGTTGGCAAAGGCAAATAGAGGCTCCATGGGCTTGTCCTTTTCCCGTTCCTTGGCTTTATGAATGAAATGGGCGGCTACATCTTCCATCTAAAGCCAAGTCGCCCGCGCGTTAGACATGGAGGAAAGGCATTCAGAGAGCCACAACGACAACGGCTTGGGCCGACCTGGAACGCCGCAGTTCCACTGGAAGATGTAAGTAGCGCGGTCTTGGGCGGGCGCTCGCCCTACGTCATGGTTCAGAGCGTGAGTACACAGACAAGAGGCCGATCCTGATTACGAAGATCCTCAACTGAGAAAGCAAAACTATTCACGAGGGTTGCTCGTCATCTCACCTGAGCCACACACGAGAGGATGAGCGAGTGCGACTCATCGCCAATGTCGAGATAGGTGGCCAGGAGCACGGAGATTTCCGTCTGAATGGCGAGCCACAGTTGTTTGAGCTCATATTTGGGCGTACTGTTGGCCGCCGTGGTCGTCTGCGTGGATGAGCAAGGTGACAATGAGAAGTCAGCTACTTTGATCAGCAGTTTGGGGCGGGACCGCAGATATAAATAGGTTGAACGCTGGGCAAGGACACGGCACTGACGTGATCAGGTTCCAGCCCAAAGTTGCTGACGCTGATGCTATCATCTTCACGAATCGAAGTCATCGAGCCTTGACCATGCCGCAAGCTTGCAGCCCTGTCCCAAGGTTGCAGTCAAAAGTGTGTTTTTGTTTTTGATGCGTGAGTCATGGCACATCAAAGGGTGGATAGAAGAGAACAGGACACAGAGGAAGACAAGTCAAGTCGAGCAAGGCGGGGGGAGAGAGCGGCCACGCCCACCATGATAAGGCCTCCTGCGTCAAGAGCGGTACGCCCAGCTCTCCGTCGGTTGTTATAATAGTGGACTAACGGTTTTGTGGTTTGTAAGATCCCACGCAATGAGAAATGCAATGCAAAACTACAAGAAAACGTATGTTGCATGGCGATCAAAGGCGTACTTTGCTGTTTTGCCGGTTGGACAAGGCCAGCAGGCAGGCATGTGCTCGTAAAACGCGCCGAAACTGAAGCAGGACTTGAGAAATGGCGTGAAAAAAGACGTGTGGCGACAGGGCCTGAGGCAACAGCGGCCATCCCAAACAGCCAGCCCCACCACATACAACAAACAGAGAGATGAAAGCGACGTGAGATGACATGTGGATTCAACGATAGTCTCAGCTCTACGCTGGCAGGCCACGGGGGTGCAAAGCACCCAAACAACTCACCACATTATCCTCTGCGCGCACGGAGATAGCGTTACCGGCATGGGCGCACAGTGGCACAAATGCGAGCGCAATAAGAGAGCGCGACAGTTTGACAGAACAGTAGAGAGCGTGAACAAGAAAACCAATACACTCTGCCCGCACCTTTATTTTGTGTCAGGATGGTGCGATAAGCGGGAGACCTGCCAGCCCCGGATATAACGCCACAAGGACACATTTGAACATGGTAGAGCTACCAGATTGCAGAACGAGATCGAGGGCCAAAGTCGGATCGTTTGAGGCGCAAGACAGACTTTGGCATGTGTTCAACTAGATCACGGCGCACCACAGATAGGGCACGGTCCTTGAGGATGCTGAGTTCGGTGCGCAGGTGGGCGCCAACCAGATTGATCACGTCAGTAACGCGGCCCAAAACGGCCAAGGCCTAAAGAGTAAGAGAGCGCGCAGGAACAGAACAGAGCAAGGTGAAATGTGGAAGAAGGCGGAAGGGGTGCAGTGCAAGGCTGGACCAACGCGCCGGGGCACGCGCAAGAACGCTGCAAGCCCTGGCACAATACCCGACCTGCACGATAAAGGCCAAGCATTGCTTGACATCTTTTTTGGGATCGCCTTCCGAGGGCTCGGGCACGTTGAGAATGCGATCGACCAGATTGTCACGCTTCTCCGCATCTGCAAAAGCCAGCCCAGCCAGTAAGTCCGAGGTTCGAGACACATCGTGTGGGGTGCTTTGTACGCCAGGCTTTGTCTGACACGATCAGCAGAGAGGCAAGGGTCTTTCTTTACCTGAGCTATTTTGCAAAAGTCCGATGAAATCATCCATGTAGTCAAACTGTTCGCGTGTGGACTTGTCACGGAGAAAAACAATGTTCATGAGCTCTTCCAGGAGTTCGAGGTGCAGGGTTTGGCGCCGGCTTTCGAGCTGAACACGGAAATCCTGAAGAGCAACGACGTCGCGAAAATCTTGAAGCTTGCGCAAGCTCGAAGACAACAGCAGAGCGGCGTGCACGTAGGATCGGCGCTGCAGGAACTGGTCCACTTGCGCGGGAACCTGCTTGAGCTCTGCGATTGAATCAAGGATTCTATAGGGATTGTTGCGCCCAAGCTGAGTCAGACATTGCGCAGAGTGCCCAGTCAAGTTTGAGGGAGTTGCGCAGGACGACGTACTGGATAAGATGTTTTTGTTCTTGCGATTCGCCCCAGAGCCGGTCAATCTGCTTTTGCTGGACCGTGAGCATGGTCCGGGAGGCCGTCAAGGCCTCGCGCACAGCAACAGCTTTCTACGCTCGCAAGGTCAGAAAGAGGCACGGCATTGTCGGTGAGATTTGTTGGTTATACCACGCGGCCGGTCAGCGTGAGGTGCAACCAGTACAGTTGAGATGGGTTGGGCAAGCGCCGAAGGAAATGACAGCAACGAGTCGTAATGCTGACCGCTTTGGCACTGTCAATGTGCTCTGTCATGTCCACAAAGGAGCGTAGTGCTCGGTAAAAGCTCTCGCTGTGCTTTTCCACGAGCTCCCCAACCTGACAGGCACAAAACCAAGGCGGAAGCAGTGTGTTGAGCAATAAGCTGGCATGCGGAGGCTGCATCTTGCTGCGCCAGGGTTTAGGCGTGGCCCAGGCAAGCTTGATGTGTGGGTTGTGGGATGCGATCTGACCTGGAGCTCAACCTTCTCCAGTTGCTCCTCTAGCTGCTGGCGCTTCTCCTCACGCTCGCGCAGCGACCCGCTCTTCGACAGCTGCAAAGGTCAAGAGGCGTTCGGCCAATCACCAAGTGGCAAGGAAAGAGTGAGTGGGAGTCTGAATAGCAAACATTGGATTCAGACTTGAACAACCTACGTGGGCAATGACATCAGCGAGCAGGATGGCTTCATCCTGGTCCATGGTGGCGCGAATCGTTCGAATGGACATGGTGTCGGTTCAGTCGATCAAGCAACTCGCAGTCTTCGGGCAGAGGCAGAGACAAAGAAAAAACCACAAAAAAAAAAAAAAAACCAAGAGGATTGGAGCAGCAGCGATGATCTTGCAGTGGCCTGCTGCTTCAGGCAATGACCAACGCCCAGCCGTTGTCGGCGTCACTCGCGCGCGCTGCCAGCCACCAGCCAGTCGATGAGCTTCTTTCCGACAACCACCCTTCAAATATCATGACAATTTTATCTGACATCGCACACAACAACGGTCAAGCAAAGAAGAAACCTGTGTGCTACCAACTGTATTTTCCATCCTCCAATAGCCACTGTCAGTGAGAGAGAAAGAGAGAGACAGAGAGAGAGACAGAGAGTCAGAGAGAGAGAGAGAGAGTGAGTGAGTGTCCGATGGAGCTCTTGATCTGGGATCGCGTACCCGTCACCACTTGAGCGCGGTTCTGGCTCAATTGGTTGGCGTTCATCGGGTCCGACTTGGGCAGGGAGGGGCGGCCTGATGCATTGTTGGGTTTGGGGCGCTGGTCTGATCGCGTTGGGTCACTCACAGTCGTCTGGTCTGGGGCACCCTTTTGTGTTGACACAGGACAGCGCGTGGCTGTCGGATGCTCGTGCCGCCCATTGCTGTCACGCGGAAAAACCGCCACCGGGCACCTTTTCTCTCGGTGGCCGGAACTGGTTGCAGTATCGCACATTTGATACATACTTTTTGCCATTTGTGCGCAAGGTAGCAGCAGACATGTCTCCCCTCTCGCTTGGCTCTGCGTTATAGAGGACAGTTGTGCGCCAACGTTTTAGCCGTTTGTGGCAACGTCACTGTTTGATTGATCCTCACCAGCACTGGGTGCTCACCTCTTTTCATGCCTGCCGGTGGCCTCTTTGTTATTCGATGCAAAGCAAAGCCGCGGAGCGTTGGCAACGAGCGCCAGCTACACGCCCCTTCTCGGCCTTGAGCACCGCCCTCGCGTCACGCGAGCAGCACCGCCGTCATGCCGCGGGAAGTGCGCATTGGTCCCGACCCTGAGGTCATTGGCACCGAAGGACAAATCGATGGTCAGTACACTTAAAAACACACACACACACACACCAAAAAAAAAAAACCGATTACTGGGTTCCGTCCATGCCTTGGGTGGCACAGTTCTGCCTCCACGCCTTTCCTGCGCTGAACTCGACACGTGCTAACTTTCTTCCTCTCCCTCTTCTCGCCCTGGCCTCTCTGCTGCTTTGCAGACATGGTCATGGCGCTGATTGAGCACGCCAACGATGCCGTTGTTTCTGTTCGCCAGGTAGGTGCTCTCAAACTGCGGTTTGCCTTGGACCTCTTGACTTGTTAATACATGCCGATGCTCACCCGCCAATAAACCGCAGACCTTTCAAAGCTCCCTCAAGGACATTGGTCGCCAGCAGCCCTTGCTCCTGCTCAGCTCCTGTGAAACATACCTGCACAAGCATCAAAAGGTTTGTCTTGGCCTGCTTTTCGTCATGGTGCCTTTCTTGGTCGGCGATGCATTTGCACTCACATTGATGGGGCTTGGTATGATGTGCTGCCGCTCTTGACGCGGCACAGCTGGAGATGGGGCACCGCATCTTTTTGATCCAGCTCATGCAGGCTATTGTCGGTGAAATGGGTGATCGGTAAGATGAGCTGCGCCTGCCTGTGCTTTCTCCCTTGCAACTCGCGTCCGCGTGGAGTGCAATTTCCAAGCTTGCATGTCGCTCTATCTGACCATTCGAATCCCGCAGCATGCCGCCTCTCCTGGCTCAGCGTCTTGTGCGTTTGGCAGCGCACGAAATGACCGTGAAGCAAGAGGTGGGCGCGCATACCCCTTTTCGTTCATCCAGCCAACCCAGTTTGCTTGTCGTTGCCCACCTGCTGGGGGCCTTCCAGGCCGGCGATCACACTGGGTTGTTTTCATTTTCGGGCGCTTGGCATTTTCTATATGGCCTCTCACCGGTGCAACTCATTGTCCGGGGCTCGACAGATCATTCCCGAGTGGCAAAGCGCAGCATCAGGCCTTCTCGTAGCCTGTGGTAACGTCTATGGCGACATTGTGCTGCAAACGCTCAAGGACATGTACCAGCCCGGCGTTGTACCACACTATTTTGTGCTCAAGACGCTCGGCGACTTTGCCGTCTCCAACTATGTTGCGGTGGTACCCTCTTTGTCTGAGCTTATCGGTCGCAGTCTGCCGATGCTGGGCATGATCAAACACGACAATATGCGATGGGTCTTTGCTTTTGCATTTGCCAAGTTTGCCGAAGCCATTCTCAACTATCTGGCAAACATGGACCGGGCCACCGACAAAAGCATCACCATTGACCGGTTTTCCGAATCCATGTTCAGCGCTTTTGAAGTCTTCTTCAAAGTGTGGCTCAACTCGCGAGAGGCCAAGGTACCCCATGCCCTGCCCTGCCCACCTGGCTCTGCCTCCTTGCTCCTTCATGTTTGGCCTTGACACTGATACTTGAGGACCATTGGGCTCACCCAGCCTTTGGGTGTGGCTGTATTTGTGTATGTGCGGAAACTATTGTGTTTTGCCTTTTGTGCCTCTGATGGTCTCAGCTTCGCCTGCAAGTGGTCGAGGCATTGGGTGTCATGTCCCACGTGCTGTCGCGCGATAAGCTGGAGTCACTGACACCGCGTCTGATTCCGGGCATGATCAACCTGTACAAAAAGTTCACGAGCGACATGTTGCCGCTGACCAAGGTTTGTCCCGTGGCCTCCCCTCAACCCTCGCGCGCAGGCTTTTCTCCATTTGCTACAGAACTGTCCATGCATACGCCGTTGAACTTAGCTCCATCTCACTGCCTGGTGTGGTTTGAACCAAACTATGTGGTGAAAGGGCCTGTGCACCGTTCTGGACGCCTGCACGCGCGGAGGTGACACCATGCTGGAGCCTCAGCTTGAGTTCATGCTCAACAGCTTGTATCCGCTGCTCCAATACCCGCCCTCCTTCCAAGATCAAGCGGGCATGCGCAACTACAACGAGTTGCTCCGCTGCTTTGAGAAGCTCTGTAACGCCTTTTCCGATCGCCTGTACGTATTTTGATAAAGCTTGTGCTTCGCTCACAAAAAGGGTCAGAAAGCAATCAAAGCGCGTGTATCGTGTACCACGTGGTGAGCGTTTGATAGGAGTGCACTTCACCGACCTCTTGTTTGCAGGCTTGCCTTTATGTTCATCAAGCTCGAACAACCAGAAGAGCGCAGTCGCGTGGGTGCACTACTTGTGTTCAAGCACCTCATCAATGCGTGTGGTGAGATACGCCAAACAAACGTCCACATCCCTTTTATTTTCTGCCCTTGCCCGCACTGTCTGCTTTCACCCTAACCAACCTCGTCTCTTCCCACTCTTACACAGATGAAAATTTGCGCGACAAGCGGGAGCTAATTGTGACCGGACTCAAGCCTTTGCTTGAGGATCAATCGCTCAAGGTGGGGGCTGAATCCGCTGTTGGCCCGTCCCTCACCAACTCCTCCTCGTAGCCTTTGTATTGTAAACTTGTGAGCAACTGGTACACTAACACGCTCTTCTGGCAGGTTCGACAAACACTGGCTCAAGTGATCATTGCCATGGGCCATCATGACTACCTGCACCTGGAGGGTGGCCAAACGCTGCTCAAGTTTATCGTCCGCCAGTGCGCGCTGGTTGAGGTAGGCACGCGCTCTTGGTGTCCACCACGTGGGTTGCAGCCATGCATCACAATAGCGAGCAAATTTGATGCTGGCACGCTCTCAACCAATGCTTTGCCGGTCGAGCAGGAGGTCGATGACATTAACAGCCCCAAGAAACGCGCTGGCCCAGAAGACGTCACCGTGCCACAGCTTCGTGCCATGTGCGACAGCATTCTGTTCATGGCCACCAAGACAATTTCATGCATGGAGCTGGTGCGTCACCCCTACCCTGGCCTTGTCCGCAGCTTGTCGTGACAGTGTTTTGTCGCATCGACTTGACTACGCCATGTCGTGCATTAGGTGCTTTGGCCGTTTCTTTTTGAGTTTTTGGTGCCCTTTGAATATACCGAGGCCGTGCCTACTTTGTGCAAATGCTTGACCCACTTGGCCGACAAGTTTAGCGAAGCAGAAAGTGACAACTATGACATTGACTTTGAGGCCAATGTTAATCTGCCCCGCCCACAGGAAATTCTAGCTCGCTGTGTGGTCTTGCTCCACGATGCCAAGTACCGCCGGCGCGGCTGGGAGCTGCTTCGTCTCCTTCAGGCCATTTCCGTCAACCTGCACGAGGAGGTTGAGGTATGTGACTCACTCGAGCCTGCTGCAGTCTCGGCTCTGTGACTGACGTCTCTGGGATCGCACATTGCTGCCATATGTCTATTAGGAGCTATGGGATGAGGTCATTCCCAAAATGATTGCATATTTGGATTTGCACCTGGAGGGCGAGGAAGAATGGAAGCCCGATGCCTGGGAGGATTTGCTTCTCAAGTTTTTATCTCGCTCTCTCGATGCCATCAACGAGGAGGAATGGATTCTCGAGGTAAGAGCTTATTTGCCAGTCAACCCCACGTCAAGCTTTGCGCATGGGTGGGCCATTCACTTTGATCGATCAACTCGCGTGATACCCACCTTAGGTGGGCCGTGCGCTGGGCCGACATTACGTGCTCTATCCTGGAGATGCCAACGCGCGCAGCATGCTATCCAAATGTTTGGGCGTGGTTTTGCGCAAGTCGGCCAAGAAGGACTTTATCGAAACGCACTTGGATAAGGTCTTTCTCTCTGTGGACCACAACAGCCAGGTCGAGCGTGAGGGCTGTGCCAAGGGCATTGGATTTGCCGCTTCATCCCACCTGGACATTGTTATTGAGCGCCTGCAAGCGCTTCAAAAGCAGGAAATGGTTCGCAAATCGACCGGATTCTTGGGCATGATGAAGGACAAGAGCGAATCGGATGTCAACCGCATCAAGGCAACTTTGATGTTGACCTACGGTTACGTCACCTTCTATGCCCCGCCCCAGCTCATTACCTCCCGTATTGAAGTCAACATCCTCGCCACCATCATGCCTCACTTTGCCAACCCCCGCGAGCGACTGGTCAAGGAGAACTTGATCCGCTGTGTGGAGCTCATTGGCAAGAGTTTGCATGATGATCACCTGAACAAGGAGCAAAAGTTTGTCATGCACCGTCGCCAGGAGGTGCTGGACCATATGGAAAAGTACATGCAAGCAGAGCCCTTGAGTGGTGTCACGACCCGCACCCGACAGCTTTGCATTGAAGCCTGCTCCACGCTCGTCCAGCTTGAGCCTAAGCTGTCGGATGAGCAGCTGCACCAGCTGCTGCAAATTGCCATGTCCTGTGTCTTTGATGCCGCACTCGCGCCAGAGGACAATAAAGAACAGATGGAGTTGCACCGCGATGCGCGACGCAGTATTGACGAGCTGCTCTCCATTGTGGTGGCGAAAGACTGCACCGCCATCAGTTTGCAGAATCGGTTCAACCAGATTCAGCCCTGGCTGACGTCGGCGACCGACCATCAACGAGAATGGGTGGCCGACCACTACTATCACATGTTGCAGGCTCTTTACTCGGAAATTCGCAAGCATTGCAAAGCCGGCGAGCAAAAACCACCCTTTGACGGCTTGGGCAAGTTCTTGGCCGACCTCGTCCCGCGCTGCGCCGACCCTGTGCTCGCCGTGCGCCAGAATGCTCTTCGTTCCGTACAGGCAAGTGACGTTTCTTTTATTTTACTTTGATCTCAAAATCCCAATCAAGCAAAAGTGACTTGAACATGAACCCCTCGTTTCAAGTTGCACGTGCAATTGCACTTGGATTCGACCGACTGACGCAACTCAAATTCATTTTGTCCTTTACGGGGTGTGACAGGTCTTGCTTCGCGTGCAGCAGGCGCTGGCCGGCGAGCTGGACGAAGAGGACCGCATGATTGATGTACGACACTGCCCTGCTGCATCATCTTGATTGAAACACTGTGCAGACAGGGCCAAGGCAGAGAAGGGAATTCTGGGTCTCTGGGCATGCCGAGTGTGCATCAGAGAGATTGACCGGCTTGTGCACGTGTTGATGACTATTGCAGGCTCTGGATCAGCTCATCGAGCGCGCCGAGGATGGAGAGGCGCAAAGCCTCTTTTCTGTTGTCAACGACTTGGCCAAGGTCGGTGTCACACAGCGTCGTGCTGTCAGTGGGCTGTGGCACGTCCCTGACCCCAACTGTGTGTGATCGTGGCTTTATGACAGGTGCTAGCGCGCAAGGTGGCTGAGACTGAGCTCTTGGGCTTTCTTTATCCTCTTCTCGAGGGTCTTCTGGACCGCCAGTGTGATAGCGCTGACGGTTCCTGCGTGGTCATCAACGGCATCTTCCGTCTACGTGGGGCTGAACTGGAGAATGAGACAGATGCCATTATCGATGCCCTCCATGCCAAGGTACGCCCACATTTGTCGCCGTACATCCTGCTTGCCTTGTCATCTCGTTTTCGTCCTGTCCTTTTTCCATCATTGCAACATTCTTGTGCCTTCCTACTTTTGAAATGGGGACGAGCCCTATCATTTAATCTGGTTTGTATTGTTCTGACTTTGTCTCGACCCAACCTGCAAATATCGGCATAGATGGCGATGGTGTCACAGGAGCGAACGCACACGGGTATTCTGCGTGCCATTCGAACACTGGCCACCCACCACCTGGAGCTGGTGACCAAAAAGTTGCTTGCGTGCGATCTGCCTTACCCTGAGCACGTGGTGGCCACCTGGCACACTTTGGCCGGAGACGCTACCTTGGTCGAGCAGATCATGAAGGGTACGGCCTTGCGTGGCTGCATGTGAGCTCTGCTTCACCATAGCCTCGTTGACGTCATCTCATGGGTCTTTCAATCTTTGGGCATGCCTTGTTCTTGATGCTTGGGCCGACAGACCTGATGGCCATGCTGAACACGGCGCAACCGTACGATGCCAAGGACAAGTTTCAGCTCGATCGACACGCCACACAGCCGCCCATGAAGGCCATGTGCGGCTTGAAGGAGATTTTATCGGTGGAAGAAACAGGGCCTTTGACCAAGCAGTACTACGCTGAACTTCTGACGGTTCTGCTCTGCCGTATCACCTGTTCTGTGAACCTCAAGGCTAGCAAGGTGAGGTGATGCGATGTTCTTCTCGAGCTGGCTGGACTACCAGAATAGTTCTCGTGTCGACGATGCGCGGCCCATCAACCTTGCCGAGCACCACCATCTCACGCCCTGTCGACTCGGTGGCTGTTGACGTGAATAGGGACTGTCACCGGGCAAAGATGCCGTTGACGGGCTGCGGAATTTTGTGGACCGCAGTGAAAGCACTTACATTCGCGAAGCTCTCGAAGCCGAGGATGTCGATGGCTGGGAAATGTTTATGAACGAGACAGAGATGACTGAGGTGTGTTGAAGAGCAAGCAGACGCAGGTGGACGTACAGCGGGCCTTTGCTCCACAGCGCACCTGTAGGAAAGCACGACAGCTGCAAATGCCATCCTGGTGAATCTAACGTACACATGCATGGTTGTGCATTTGTTGCTTGAATGCAGGCGATCATGATTGTGGTCAAGGCCATTTGCGAGAGCAACCCTGAAGCGGTGCCGCTGCTCGTGGCATCCTTTGACCCCGTGCTGAAGAAGGTGTATGACATGCAGCGCATTGCTGGCGCCGCAGTTTACGCTGAGATTATCAATCAGCAGTGCGCTGGTCACACAAACCTCATCAACAAGCTCAAGAACGGTCTGCTCAGCAAGCTCGTTGATACAAATCATGGTATGCATTTTTAGAATAGCGTGTAGAGACGCCGAGCTTTTGTGGCTTTTGATGGGATGGAGCGCACGGCTCATGGGTTGCGATGTGATATCTTGTAGTGGTGCGCATGCTGTGTATCCGAGGCTTGGGCAATGTGTCCTCACTGCCGGAGAATCATTTGCGCAAGCATTCGACTACGGTTCTCTCGGCCATGATGAATGGCATGGACGATCGCAACGACCCCAACGATGACATTACACTCGAGGCGATGCGCGGTCTGAGCAAAATTTTTGCCAAGGTATGTCTGTGTTCGTGCGCGCGGGGGTGTGCTTGCGTGCAATGGAGCCCTTAACTTTGGAAGTTGGCTCCTGTCTGCGCGATGCACCCTTCCATTTCTCATGTCTTTTTTATCCTTTTCTTTTGTTATAGGTGGAAGAGGATGCCATTCGAGCAATTTTGATCAACATCTCACTTCGGATACGGCCTTGCTTTGACAACGTAAGGCTCAGAGATGTGATCGTTTGGGTCCGCCTGGGCTTTGGTCGCTCACCAATTTGTGTGGTTGCATAGCCCAAGCCCAATGTTCGAGGCGCGGCAATGGAGTTGTTTGGCAACTTGGCGCGTTTTGGGGATGGACCATCCAAGGTTCCCTTCCTTGAGCAGGTCAGCATGCAGGCCTCATTCTTGCTCATTCGCGTTGGGGGCCTGCATGGCCATCGTCAAGGTGATCAAGGCCTGTGTAACTGAGCCTGTCTCGGCCTTGGCGTGCTTGTGTCGTCTAGATTCATTCCAACATCATCACGTTTCTCATGCACGTGGAAGACGATTCCGTGGAGATTCAGGTCGTATTTGAAAAGCATGGCTTGGAATGCAATCTTTTTGGATGCGCTTGTTTGCCGTGTTCGACGCCCTCGGCGGAACGGTGTCATGATTTGTTGTGCGCAGACTGACGTTTGGGTTGCTGGACTATAGGTGGTCGTGCGCGCCGCTCTCAAGAAGCTAGCGCCGCTGCTGGATTCGCCGGAGCTTGTCGAGTGAGTTGACGGGAGGGGGATATCCATTTCTGAAGCTGCGATATGCTGTTGCTGACCTAGTGCAATGCATGTACAGGTGCTTTGATGACCATTTCAAGGAGGGTCGCACATTCCATTATGGCGAGCTGCTGAACGACTTGTCCAAGCTTTTTGTAGGTTTTCGTGCTGAGTTGCTTGCACCAAGCATGTCGCCTTCCCCCAGTGGCATGGCACTGACATAACTGCTGACGGATTGTTGCAGATCAAACTCTTTCCAGACAAGATTGGATTTTACACCATGACGGCAGTCAATTTTTTCCGATGTGACTGGCAGCCCAAGCTGCGCGCCAATGCCGTCATGCTGATTGGGTTCTTGCTGGGCAACCTGCCCGACGATCACCGAGGCGAGATCACCAAGGAGCATGTGTGCGGCGGTATGTCCACTTGAGCAAGCGCATTGGACTGGGTAGAACCGCATGACTTGGCTCATTGGACTTCACCCCTTTTGCGCTGGGCCTGGCTGATATAGAAATGATTCGGCTGTTGCGTGATCCCAACCCGCAAGTGCGCCAGCGCACAGCCGAGGCCATGAGTTTCATGTGGGAATATTAGTAAATTTTGTTCTTTCTTTTTTAGGCCTGAGGCAGGTTTTCTCGTCTTCCTTCTCTTTGCACAAAGCCGGCAACGGTAGCGCGCTCACGCCTTTTTGAGCGCTGTATTTGGCCGCCTTTTCTTTATCTTGTCTGTGTGAGTGTGCGTGTGTAATTTCGGCCTTTTTCATCTTGTATTCACGCGTCAGTCGCTCTCTTCCCTTGCTTAAGAGCCGTGTCACATCTGATGCTCGCTCGCTCCCTTTCTCTTCTCCCATGCGCGCCCCTATTTGAGCTGACTGGCCTTGCTGGCGCCGTGCAATGATGCCAACATCATTTTGAAACCAAGAAACCAAAAAAAAATTAAAAAATTCAACACAAACACAAAAATGTCTGCATTGTCAGCTTGAGCAGGTTATTACATGCGTTGTGCATGCCTGAACGCATTTTTGCTTTTGTGCCTTCGATCGGATGAACGGACAGTTGGCAATGGGTGCGGCCGTGTTTGATAGCACGCTCGTTGTTTAAGCATCACATGTGGGGACGACAGGTGGGGCGATCTCGTATGGGATATCAGCTAGCTCCGCCACCGGCCCCTGCTTCTGGACGGCAGAATGCGAAGAAGCAGGACGACGTCCCAGAACGACAGCCGGCCGTGCGGCCGTGTGATGTCATGCCTGCTAGGGGTGTTGGCGCTGGCTGTTGTCGGTGTCGAGCCTCTGGCTTGGCCTACGACTGCATTCCTGCCGTCGCAAGTGACCGCCACAAGAACAACTCGCGAGTTGCTTGTCATTGATGAACCACATCGACTGGCTGGGTACCATGGCTTTGTCCGAGATACTCGCAACAGTCAACTGCCCCTGCCCCATGGCGGCGTGGTAGTGCGTAGCTGGCAGCAGCCCGAGTATGTGACGGCGCCCATCATCACCGATGGGTGCATTGCCACGGACCGCGGGCTCACATACAATGCATCTGTGCTGGTGGCCAATACGAGGTGGCACCGGCGCGATGCTGCCCCCTTGTCTCAGGTCGCGCTGCAGTTTCACGAACACGAATGCACGCTCTTCAACTTTGCCATCGTCTGGGGCGAAGAGTTTCAGCACTTTATGCTGGAGGTGCTACCTCGCATCGCCAGCGTTTGGTCGCTCATTCAGGACACGCCTCGCGCGTGCCTGGTTCTAAACAGCGGGCCCGGCGCTCGCATTCTGCACGAATTGCTAGGTGTGCCAGCCGAGCGCATCGTCGTTGCACATGCCAATAGCGTACATTGTGGCGCCCAAATCGTTTTCCCGGACTTTGAACAGCAGCGCAAGATTGGCTTGCTACCGCCCGAGGCCTATCGTCCCATACAACCCCTCATCAGTGCCTGGCTGGACTCTCACCGGTCCACGAGCGCCAACATGACCGAACCCCACCAGGTGCCCCATCTCTTGCTGTACCTGCGGCGGGCTGCAGGCACTGACCGAGCCGTGCAGGTTGAGCAGGAGCAGGCGCTGTTGGCACAAATTGAGGCTCGAATGCGGCCCGGATATCAACTCGAGGTGTGGGAACCAGAGGGGCCGCATGGTTGGCACGTTGATGGACCCCTTTTCGGCCAAGCGGCGTTGGTGTTCGGCCCCCACGGTGGGGCCTTTGCCAACCTGCCCTTTGCTCCACGAGCAACCCGAGTGTTGGAGTTTATCGCTGCGCGACACTCCGAGCCCCAACTCCCTCCGGCCGTGCCCAAGCTGGACATTCGCCCATGCTACTGGTCCATGGCTACGGCTCTGGGCCAGGAGTACTGGCAGAGCGAGCCGTTGAAATTTGATTTCTCCCAGCCTGACATGCTTGTGAACGTGACCGACATTTTGAACAGCATGGAGCTAATGGGCTTTCTTGCTTGAACCTGCATCCCAGCTTCACAAGTACATTGCCCAAGGATGGATGTTCGAAGGGGCCTTGCCAAAGGCTCCCACCCAATTCACTTTAAATGTATTTATCACTTTAGCATCCAGTCGTCGCATCATTTCCAATGCCCCCTTGATGAGTTGATTTTTATTTAGAACAGCAACAGAGTAACACCGGGAAAGGCACTCGCCTTCTCTAGCATGAGACTCTGTGTTGTCAATTTGTGCCACGGTGGGCATTGGGCTGATCATACGGGGCGCGCAGCGCCTTGACCTTCAAAAGTTAAAGGAGCCAGGCATTCTAGAATAATGAGGCATACGGTATGTGGCCAAGCTTTGGCGGCTGAGAGCCATGTTCTTCAACGGCGCAAGCAAAGTAAGTGCAAAGAGGCTTCGTTCTTGCTGGCTATAGAGTATTTGATGGCATCAAAGGCCGAGCGCCAGTGCATGACGACGGCGAGCTTGAAGATTCTGATGACGAAAAATGACAGTCAAGCGTCTGAATGAGCATTCCTTGATTGTCAAAGCATGCAGGGTAGTTTATGCCAGGGTCACCTTCCCATCATGCGTCGGCTGACCTGAACAAAGCTGGCGTAGTTCAAGCCGGGAAGCGGGCTTGCAATGGTTGCCACGAGGTGAAGGTGTCCGGAAGAAGGCTAAGGGTGCAAAAGCCCATGATAAACCATGAGTGGCGGCGAGCAGCACCTGCACGGTGGCGGCGAGATCAAGATCGTACATTATGCTCAATTTGACCGATGG